GTATCATCAATCCGGTAGGTAATAATATTTGACATTCAAGGTTCTCGTAGCATTTGAAATGATAGATTCCAGGTTTGAGGTTACACTAAGAGGAACCAATAAGATTCAAATCGAACTAGAAATACACTCTGAAAACTATGGTGATCTACCGTTCACCGCATCACCGGTCAAATTTAAATTTCATATTATTACCTTTTTTCAGTACATAACAAGACAGACAAATGAACGACTGTTTGACTTCCTCCTTGAAGTACCTGGAACAGAAGTAGAGTCTGTTAGTGTTGCGTGGCCGCACAGTGCAGAGGAGAGCTGCTTGAGGCTGGCCATATACGACCTGTTTGAGTTGATTATTCCAGTTTTGTGTCCGTATTCAGGTCTTACCGCCATCCACGGACCACCTCACGGTAACTTGGGATGTAACATTTTTGGGGTCAAACTTTTGCTAACCCCCTCCTCTTTAGAGAGAAGAAATACTATAGCTGGTATGCTGGTAATCTAAGAGAAACACCTTACCATTGTTGCATTCAAATTCTCCGGCAGCACGTTTTTGCCCACAGACATCCAACATAGCTTGAACGACTTACACCATTCGAATGACTTTTCTGGTATCGCAACACCTCAAGGAATAAAAGTTCTAGCCAGTGCAACTCATTATCTCATTGAGGCAAGCAAACCCAACTACCACGTCAAGTTAACAGCTATCCATTGGAAAACCTGAAAGTCCTGGATGGCAGGGTTACAGCAGGTTAGGCGTGAGGACGAATAGCCGCCATCGATGACATTGGCCGGTGGCAGAAGTTAGAATTCATTCGGATCCCAGTGGTCTACCACCTCACCTTGTAACCAGAAGGTCCTGGATTCGAATCCTGGCACTGGGCGCGCGCTGATGAAGAGTCCCGAACTAGTGGGACGAAACACTTGTCCAGTACTCTCAGGTTTCCCAATGGTTTTCTAACCCATATCCATTCACGATAAAATCTTATAACCAATCAATTAAAATCATGCAAACCAACAATTGAACACAGCTCTCTCAGTCAGGAGCTGAATATTTACGTAAACGAAACAGAACCCCTATTCTGCCTGGAGTAAGTATGTCTTACCAACTTAACGAAGAATTTCTTTTGCATAGTATATGATAACGGTGTATTGTTAAAATTATATTTATTAGGCATATATATATATATATATCACATGATGTGTAGATTTCAGTTTGTATACAGTTATACGCGCGCAAAATCTATTATTGTAAAGAAACAATGCCTGATAAAGAATATATAAACATGGCATAACATGAGAATATATTAGAAAAATAATAACAATGAATTCAACATATGTATAAATACATATACATTTAATTCTTATTTATCTTCTAACAGTTATTGATTATTTTTTCTTTATATCTTTTGAGAAAAGATAACTATGATGATGTTGTTGAAGATGATGAAATTCTGATAATAATCTCTGTATACATAAGTGTGTACAATATCTATACTCCACAATTGTTACAATTCGCTTATGCATTAAACTACAGATTTTGATACCACCATAGTATGCGTTAAACTTTATATTTTATGAAGAGGTTCGTAGCTAGTTAGGACAGATGAAAGCAGTGAGAAGAAAAAACTGCAATGATGCTACTGATACTACTGACTAACTGATATAAGTAGTTGCAAATACCGCACCTACACACACACACACACACGTTAAACAGTAGTGCTTGCTAGCCAGATTGAAATGATATCCACATTGGATGGCCATTTCACTCGAATTGAGGCTGAGCTTCTCAGTGGTGGTATTATTCGATATGACTATGCTCAGACAGTTGAGCCAGTTGAAACCACCCGAGTTCTGGCTATCCTACTTCATTAAACTACTGATGAGCTGGGTACTTACTGAACGAGCAAAACCGCCATGACTTCCATCTAGCTAGCAAGAACTACTGGTAGCATCCGACTACCCATTCACACTAATCAATCAGTATCATGCAATTATTATTATTATTGTTTCCTTTAATTCCTAGAGGAACATAGGGATTCAGCCGTGCGTCTCCATTGCGTTCGGGTCTCTGCTAGAGTCTTCACCTGGCTCCAAGTCTGCCCACACGTTTTCATCTCCTCTTCACATGACCTCCTCCAAGTCACCCTTGCACTGACGACCAACTCGCCACTTCCCTTTCGGGTTCCACTCAAGGGCTTGTCTCGTGATGTCACTTCATGGTTTCCTCAGAGTGTGGTGGCGAATCCACCACCATTTCTTCCTGCCTATTTGTTTCACAATTGGTCCCTGGTTGGTTCGCTTTTTGCCAGAGATCTCTGTTGGTGATCCTTTCTGGACATCTGATTTTGAGTATTGAGCAAAGACAGTTGTTGGTGAAGGTCTGTAGTTTGTTTGAGTTGCTCTTTATGACGCGCCAAGTCTCTGATCCGTAAAGTAGCACTGACTTCACATTGGAGTTGAAAATCCGGATCTTATTTTTGATGCTGAATGCTGTTGACCTCATGCAATTATGCTTGCCTTATTGACTGACATTTATGTTATCGACAAACAACACAACACACATTATGTATGATCTGAGTAATTTCCGTTTCCAAAAGAAACTGTGGTAGAATTTCATCTCGAAACGTGAAGATTGCGAGTCGAGGATATTAATTTACGAATAGAAAATTTCACTGAAGAACCATACCTCCCCGCCTATTCCACCCATATATTTCTGTCAGATACTTACATCCGCTTACTACTTACGCCCACATAATATGAATGGTAGTCATTACATTAGTAATAATCGTGGTGACGACCTCGTGTAATGAAAGATGCAAAGGTTTCGAATGTAGATCTATGACATTTGGTAAATTATATTCAATATTTGTAAGAGTATAACAACCTTAAATTGAAATTTGAAAAAAAACTACCGATCAATAAAAAAGAAATAGATCACACGAATAATATCAGGTCAACGAGTGGATCAATAACCACACACGTGAATACAATACAATACAAGGAATTCTATAGGAACAATCAATTACAATGAGACACATGAAGAATTCTCAAGGTGGCTCGGTTCACGCTGAAGTTAGTGCTTAAGCAGTGTTATCTAGTTAACATATGTGTAAAACTTGGGCAATGTGGTAGTAAGTAATTCCGTATGAGTTTGTTTATTAGATATATCACACAGTGAAACAGCAATATTTACTGGATGACAAGGTTTCGAACAAAATTTATTGCGGTTCATAATCATATCAATTATAATCACACGACTTCGAAACCTGAGTTTTATAGTTTTCTTTGTCCTCTCCTATTTGTCGTCGTCGGGGTAGTAGAACTTTCCAGATATCTGGGACAGGTGTTGAATTATTCCCACTACACATACTTGTAGTTGATTCGATAAACAAAGCTTTCATTATCAATCTCTCCCTCCACCCTGCTGTTACATTAGATTTTAAAAGTGTCATCTTATACCATCCCATCCTATTGTATGGTTGTGTGTAATTGCATGTAGTGAATGTTAAGCTGAACTATTCTCTAGATTTCTTATCTTATTCGGATCAACCAATCTAGATTTTGCTAGGTTTTTATGTTCAGCTAGTCTGACTAGAAAGCTTCAGAATTATAAAACATCCATCCAGCTCAGAGAGACAATGGCCACAAGAGGAAACTCAGCGAAAACTTTGAAGTGAAGACAGGAGTTGGACAAGCCTTCTTACTGTCATCCACGATCATATTCCTAAGAGTGGTGGACTGGATCATGCAACATACTGTGTAAGGGGAGTGAGAAGACAAGAATAAATTGGACCTATGAGAAGATTTAAGAAGACCTAGAATTCGTGGCAGACAAAGTCGAAGATGATAAAGATAACCAACCAACAACAACAAGCACCAATCACTATCAGCGGAATGAATTTGAATGAGGTCACTTCCTTCACACTTATCTAGGCAGCAGCATCGTCTCAACTACAAACAGTCGGCATTGACGAGGATCTGGAAACCAGAATATGGAAAGCAAGGAAGACATTTATCACTCTGAAATCAGTTTGGAAACCTTCTAAACTCAGAATAGAGGACAAAATTCGTATTTTCAACAATCCTGTCAAGTCAGCCAGTGTTTCTATATGATTCAGAAACTTGGTACTTGTGTCACGAAAATCATTTCCAACGGGCTAATTCAGACTTTTATCAATAGTTGCCTTCCCTCTGTTTTGAAGATTAAATGGCCAGAAAGAAATTGGCATCAAGAAATTCTGGGAAGGAACCAGTCAAGAACCTATCGCTCAACAAATATATTCCGAAGAAAATAGAAATGGATCAGACAAACGTTCAGGAGGCCTTTGAATGACTTCGCATGCCAGGCCAGCCCTCAAGTGTAACATGTATGGGCAACGACGAATGGAGAGTCCGAAAGTGACACGGAGGAGATCATGTGAGATGAGAGACTATGGGCAATTTTGGGACCAAATAAGGAGGACAGGAGAGAATAGGAAAAAAGTGGAGATGTGCTGTTGAAGGTCTATGTTCCACTCGGAACCAAGGGAAAAATAATAATAACAATCCAGCTCATAGAACAAAACATCAAAAACAAGCTATTATAGTTTTATGGTGCTTTCTGTCTTATGTTACGTCTTCTATGTTTATTTTTCTCTATTTTCCTCAAGTTTTCCCCTATTTGTAACTTCTTTCATTGCTTCTCAGTGTTCACGACTTTTCCAACAGAAAACGTGATATTACATACTACTGAAAAATTCTTGTGAGTAGTATAAGTCAGCCGGTAGAATGCACTCCAGCCACAAACTTGGTCCATGGTTCAGTTCGCGACCGACTCACTCCTAAACCTAACCTAGTCGGTAGTCAGCTGGATACAGAGTGAAGGTTGGGCAACACCGCCTCGAACGAAAATGCACCAACATTACTGAAACTTTAAAGATTCAACCATAAATACCAAAGTTCCACTTGGAACGCAAAGGAATAGAAAAAATTGTTTACCAACTCATTACGATGAAGATACTTACCTGACAAGTAGACGAGATCAATCGAATTAAACCAAGTCCAGCTATAATACTTGAAATGAAATTGGCTCTGGTTTGCATTTCATCTGGTTTTTGAGTTAAATTAAATATCTATAAGAAAGTTAGAAATGAAACAATAAATAAAAACACGTTCGACCAATCCTCAATGTGTTGGTATAACACATGAGAGTGAAAGCCAACATAAGTTACAGTAAATGACAGGGTAGTGTTACCTAGGACTAAGAGTGAATCACCACTCGTGGAATACAAGTGTAGTTTATTGTTTCTTCATATTTTAGATTTTCTGTCAACTGTTTCGATGAACTTCAAGATACAGTGGAGTAATTCTTCCATAGTGATCTAAGTCTTATTTAACATCCATTCCAAGGATCAGGTGACCAACAAGAGTGGCTTTGTTCAGTCTCATAATAACATCAACAGGAATATGGTTATTCATTCAGAATATACTGTTTTTTGGAATGAGATTTTACTTTGGAAAACGTTTCAGTATCATCCTAGACACTTTTTTCAGTGCACCGAAGCTTTTAACAATAATAATAGCCTCATTCCAAACACCACTTTCTGGAAAAAATATTGAATCGCCAGCATGTAGTAAAATATTGCATCTAATTTCCTCTTTACAGAGGTAATAATTAAAATAGAGCATCTACAGTGATAATATTATTCAATAAGAATATGAATGTAAAATTAAAATGGAAATATTAACAACGATACAATAATGAAAAAGAGATGAAAAATAAGGGCCGTTTACGTAGTATTTCGTAGTAAGTTGGCAGTGTATTGCCTCACACTTTTCATATCATTTAAAATTAGTGTCAAATAAGGTATTGTAGAGTTTGTATACTTAGTCGTCCGAGCAAAAAGTCTTCTATAGTTGCTCCTAGTTCTACCTGATGGAGTACTGTGTGTACTGCTCAACAGTCCGCTCCGTCCTCCTTTATGGCTGTGAGACCTGGCCATTGAGAGCAGAAGACATGAAAAGATTAGCTGTCTTCGATCATAGGTGTCTGCGTTCTATCTCCCGCGTGAAGTGGTATAATAAGGTGAGCAATATTGAGGTTAGGCGTCAAGTGCTAGGTAAGGCGGGGAAATCAATCGACGAAACGGTGAAATTACTTCGACTGAGATGGTTAGGACATGTGCTACGTATGCCTACTCATCGCCTTCCTCGACGGACGGGCAATGTTAGCTGATATAGGGCCAGGCTGGAAAAGAGCTAGCGGCGGTCAAACTGAAACACGGCACCAATCAATGAAATCTACAACAGTTAATCTAAGCCACGTAGGAAGATGTAGACTCCCTGGTTGGGGTCCTCGGGACGGTAAAAACCAATGGTTGGAAACAATTGATGACATGGCTCAAAATCGTTCTCAGTGGCGCAGATGCATCCACTCCTTGTGACTTATGATTTCCAATTAAACTGTTTTGTTCTCCGTTATTACTATTCCTTTGTCTCACACCTCTGTTTACTGACTATATTATGCATTTCTTCTATTTCCTTCTCTTGCTTTGTGTGCTACATGGAGGGAGTGTGGCGACTTGAACTGCCGCACATATGTGCAAAGTTCTATGTCGAAAACCGACCGACCGACCTGATGGAGTGCTAGAAGAGAGTTGTGTATAGGAGAGGGTGCTCAGGGGCCGGTAGGATAACATTCGCTAATTTTTTGCATGAGTCCATATGTCTATCTACAACAGTATTAGTGAATTGTTTTCGAGACACTCACTTTAGAGACTCAGGGATTGACTTGTTTGTTACCGGGGAATAATCACGTTGACTTATAATATGCAGATGATATAGTCCTCACTCATAGGTGAAGACGCTGACAAAACTGAGCAGAGTCTTCTGAACACCTTGAGCTGAGCAACAATCTTCGAATGTTTGGAATGCGATTCGCTCCCGCCAAAAGTAAGATGATGTGATGCTACAGGACTGGACTACACTGACTCATTTCAAGCTTAGAAATAGGGAGTGAAGTGGTTGGTGGAGCGTGTTGACCACTTCACTTGTTTGGGAATTCGCATCAACCAAGGCAAACTGGTTGATCGCTGACTAAATCTCATCACGGATACAGAAGGCCTGTTTCACATATGCCAATTTACACCGTCTCTGGCGTAGACGTGATATCCAACTGGCTATCGAACAAAAAAGTGTGTAGTGCTCAGCAGTCCGCTCCGTCCTCCTTTATGGCTGTGAGTGAGATCTGGCCATTGGGAGTGGAAGACATGAAAACATTTGCTAGCTGTCTTTGATAATAGGTGTCTGCGTTATGTCTCCCTTCCGTGTGAAGTGGCTTAATAGGGTGACTAATATTGAGGTTAGGCTTCGATCGAGTAAGGGGAAACCAGCTGACGAGGTTGTGAAGTCAAACAAATTGAGATGGTTAGGACATGTGTTACATATGCCTGCCTAGCTATTGCCTTCCTCGTCAATGGGCAGTGCTAGCTGGCATAGCATCAGCTTGAAAAAGAGCCATTGGTGGTCAAACGAAAACATGGCCTCGTCAGTCAATGAAATCCACAACAGTTAGTTTAAGCTAAGTAGGAAGGTGTAGACTGGTTGGGGTCCTCGGGACGGTAAACACTAATGGCTGGAGATAATTGGTGATATGGCCCAAAATCGTCCTGAATGACTGGCGGAGATGCATGCATTTCTTGTGACTTATAATATCCATTAGGTCTATATAGTTCTTCTATATTACTATTCTTTTTGCCTCATATCTCTGTTTACTGTCACTGTTTTGCATTTCTTTTTACTTTCTTCTCTTGCTTCGTGTACTGCATGGAGTGTGGCAACTTGAACTGCTGCACACCGGTGCAAAGTTCTGTGTTGAAACCAGACAGACAGACAGACAGTGACACCTCAATCGCTCTACAGACAGCTTTTAGTAAGATGACTGAGATAAAGTCTTACTGTAATTTCTTCTAAAAGCCAGAAGTATTCAGATCCGAGTTGGTGATGTGGCAGTTGAAGCGATGCTGACTAGGTAAGTGGAAGAAGTGAATCCCTTTCAGATTTCCCCCGCTGACTGTGATTAGTGCTTGTTGTTGTTGTGGTTGTCGGTTAGGTATCTTTATCGACTCTGTTCACTTGAGGTCCTGTCTTCATTGCTTATTCTACCACTTTATCGAATTCCTTTGTAGATTTTCACGTCTCTCTGACATTAGAAATAAATCATCACCAAAGTTCGGAACGTCTAGAGTCTTTTCATCAATTCAATATATGCTCGTCCTTTCATTCACCACGATCTCTTAAATGATGCGGTCGCCTACCATCAGGAATATCACCAGTGATAGTAGGTAGCTTTGAATTATAATCTCAACTAATAAATTGATTCAATCAATAATCACTCACTCACATCACTAGCCATAGCCTATCCTGCAGCTAAGCTCGTTCCCGTCTATCAAACAATTTGTTCTTTGATGCAATCAAAAATCGATAGATATCCTTCTCATGTTAACTCCAACTCTATATACAAATTTGCATGTATCTGCGGGAGCAGTTACATTGGAAGAACAGAAAGAAGAAGGGCATATCTACGATTTTCTGAACATGTACCAAAAAGCTTACGTCTAAAGGGAACAAATGCTTTAAACAGTGCCATCGCCAGGCATCTCCTTGACACGGGTCATGAAGTGAGCGTCGAAAAGTCGTTCAAAATTATCAATAAGCAAAAGAGCTCAATTCTCCTTAAGTTTGCTGGAGCCATTTCCATCAAGCGCCTGAAACCTGATTTGTGCGTTCAGAAAGAAACAGTTATCAGTCTTTCTTTGCCCTACCTGGTAACTGGATATTTTTCATCCGAATGCGAGATGCTGAAAAGTTTTCATTGTGTATGATTATTATTGTTCGGAATAGTTTTTAATATTTCATATATATATATATATATATATATATATATATATATATATATATGTAATTAGTGTACGCGTATACTGATCGGCTGATTTTTGTTTAAAATGAACTCTGTGCAAGTATGTTAAAATTGTTTTTGTAGATATGTTTAATGATGTCTTTGCCCTGTAAGCAGCTGATGAGAAGGCAACGAAATAAATGATGGTACCATTTTATTCTACAAAAACTGTAGTTCTTGCTTTGTTCAAATTCATTAAGGGGAATAAATGTATGAAATATCTAATTCTATTGATTTACATTTATCGTCTCAAGGTCATTTCGACCTATATAACCAAAGAGCTGAATGTAACAGATAACTGATTGAAGTTCAGTAAAATGATGCAAACAAGATGCACATATATCGGTGTATAGTTTTCTTGTAATTCAGAAAGGCATAAACAAAAGAAAAACAACTAATTTTTACACTACTATGTTATTTCTACAACTTGACAAATATTACATGTAAAAACCTGAAAAATGGACAGGTACTGTCTTTTTTCTTTTCTTTACAATAATTTATGTGAATAATATACAACTTACAGCATACATTTCTGAGTAGAGAACAGCAAAGACAGGTTGTAGACCACCGGTGATTGATGCAGCTATACAGCCTAAAGTTAAAACTTTCCATTCTGGTCGAGATAATTTCAGTAAACGGCGCATAGATGAACACTTGACAGAGAAAATGAAAACAAAGGCTCAATGAAAAAGAGATAGTCAGATAAACGTAATGTTTATTAGACACAAATCATGAAAGTTATTTTGACAGATAGTGACTGACTACCCGTGGAATCTAGAATGCACATTTCGTCCTACTTAGGATTGGTCACGTAAACGTATTTCCATTGCAATTGAGTGATTGGTGTGTCCTCACCGGGACTCGAACTCTGTGCCTATAGTTTCAGATATCAAAGGGCCAGCCAGTAGGCAACAAAAGCCGCCTTTTGTATGACGCGTATTGGTTATTACTTTGTTATTTTAACAGAGATAATTCGCATTTCCTAGTTAACTAGCTTGCTGGTTTTCTAGCCTGTTCCAAGCCCCGGTAAAGAGGGTGGGTTGGATGTGGGACTAACTACCCTACACCACTAAACCTATCCAACCGCTAGAGAAACTTCGACGCACAACAAAATACTAATAAAATACAAGAAATTCAGAGAACGATCTTATTCTTTGCTGGAATCAGAGAGGCGAAACGACACCGTAGGCTGGTGTGAAAGCCAGCCTTTGGGAAGCCAGTCAACCGATGGGTCTTCTCTCAATGAAAGCAAGAATAAGAATGGGGAAGTGGAATGTTCGTACAATATATGAGACTGGGAGGGCTGACCAGATAGCCAAAGAAATGCGAAGATTTGGCTTAGAAGGATAATAAATCAACCAACCAACAACAACAACAACCAGCACCAATCACCGCCAACGGGAGAGATTATACAGAGGTTGCTTTCTTCCCTCACTTATCTAGAAAGCATCTTTTCAAACACAGGCAAAACGGATGAAGATGTCAAAGGCAGCCAGGAAGAATCGGAAAGGTTGGATACGCCTTCATCCACCTGAAACTAGTGTAGAGATCTTTCGTACTCCACAGCATAAAAAACAAGAGTCAGATTTCCAACACAAATGTGAAGTCAGTCAGTCAGTGCTTCTCTACGGGTCAGAAACTTGCACTGTGTGTCACGAAAAGCATTTCTATTAAGTTACCGACTTTTATCAACAGCTGCCTTCGCTGACTCCCGACTGAACATCAAATGGCCGGCTAGAAAGAATTAGTAATAAGAAACTCTGGCTGAGAACGAACCAACCAAGAGCCGATAGCTCAACAAATATGTAGGGGAAAATGGAGATGCATTGCGCATACATTGAGGAGACTGTCAAATGATATCGCACTCAATTCAGGCAGACACTCAAGTGGAATCCAAATGGGACCTGGCAAGTGGGTCGCCGGTGCGAGGCTAATATAGAGGAAGTCGTGTGGCGAGGAGGTGATGAGAGACTATAGGGAATTGTGGACCCAGATGAAGTGGAAATCAGAAAATAGAACAAGGTGGAAATGTGTTGTTGAAGCTGTATGTTCCAGTCGGAACCCAAGGGAATAATAACAATATTAAAAATGCTCGGACTCTGATAACGTTTCAATGGGAACTCAATCAATCACTGTGGATTGCAAATACATCCAACTGACTAATCCCAAACTGGACGAAATGGGTATTCTAGATTCCAGTGGTAGTCACTATGACAACAGAATAACATCACGTTAATCGCCAAACAAACTGGCAGAGTCCATACAGAGAGGTGATATGTAAACACAAACTGGGGTATTATAAAGAGGAGATTGACGGTGGAAATTCTCTCCAAGTTGGCCAAAATAAATTACACAAAAGACAATGAATGTAGTGTTGTAGAATGCCAACATCCCAAAAAAGATGCAACAGCGATATTTTGTATGTCAGTCACAGTATATTTTGTGTCTTGTCCAAAAGTTTGTGTTTATTCACTTAAACATCAAATTGTAACACTACTTACTTGATCATTCCAACATATTTAAAATTAATACAATAATGGTAGGATAACTGTCAGTAATTCTGTACTAAGATATGTATATAAGTCAAGGAATACTCTTTTGTAGTAACATTGTTTTATATGAGAACAAAAAGAGAACCGAATAATAATTCTTAGTAAAATATACTACTGAAATCTTTGTTAGTAGCTTCAGTAGAACGATGAAAATAAAGTTATACAATAGAATACCATATAGGGAAATAAATTAACTTCCATCCAGGTCGATAGGCAGAGCTTTGTGGCATCATTGAATGTATTTCCTTCCTTGTTAAAACCCTAAATTTGGTCTCATTATTACAGGTCATATTACTTCATCTAACACAAATTCATTTGTGATCAATAAAGCGCTCACCTTCCAATTGCAACAGTCATATATCTCACAGTCGTAGAGACAGATGGTGTAAAGTGTTGCACAGAATATACTTCCTTTGTTGAAAAGTCTACGCTAACAGTGAGAAAATTTGGAAAATTAGGAAGGAAGGATTTTGAATCCTTGCTGAAGTTTTATTCAGTGACCAGTAGTCAATAAAGCCTAGGTCAGCTTCTGAAAACAGTCAAGTGATAGTCACTTCCTTATATTTTACCTTCTCTCCTTAGAAGAGAAGTGGGAGTAGATCAGTTCTGCAATATAACTTAACATATGGCAATCCACCATTTCATCTGCTTCACTTCTTAAGTTGCGTAACACATTCATACACAAAAGTCTATAGTATAATACGCAACAGCAAACAATTCCGTAACCGAAATTATTCAGAACAAAAACATGTGAACTGTTTGATACTATAATCGGAAATCAAGAAAGCAAGGATATCTGCATGATGCTATGAACTAATAATTGATTGATATGAATAAGTATTTGAATACAAGTCACATCAACTACTAGCGCGTCGGTAGCACAGCGGTTAGGACTCTTGCCAACCATGCACATAGTCCAGGGTCCGATCCTCTGCCGACGCACATCCGATATCATGGGTCGGCTCGCTAAATTTGGGCTACCGATATCACATGCTAAAAATTCCATACTTGTGCCAAAAATACGGTGTGGAGTCAAGCCAAATAAAATATAATAAAATATAGTGCTTGTTGGTCAAATCTAAATGGTTCCGTTCCACTCGTTCAGCACCGAGGTCATCAACGCCAGCAAGCATTCGGGTGGTTTCAACTGATTCTGCTGTCTGAGTTGAGACAAATCGAGTAAACCACTGATGAGTTCTAGTCTGGTATTTATACCACATTGATCTGGTTGATGTGATAGCTATCCAACTACTATTTACGTCAATCGTTTTTTTTTTCCTTCACGTTCCCAGTGGAACATAGGGCTTCAAACTAGTGGCTTGCAGTTTCTGTAGCAGTGTTTATTTTACAGGATAGGGTTGCTAGCCTCATGCCCAACCTTTCCTCTTCACCAGCATCATTCCTGGTTTAGTGAGGTAAAGGAGTGCGGCGGCCGGGGATCGAACCCCGGACCGTGTGCATGGTCGGCGAGCGTCCTAACCGCTATGCAACCGACGTCAATCGATAGCACCCTATAATTAAACTGTACAATTCTATAAGAAACAAGAGATTGGTTTTATGACTTCGTCTGGAAGGAGTTCACATAGAATAAAGTTAATGTGTTAAAGTGAAAATCAAGAGTTCTTTAAACTTACAAAACCACCACCACTTTTTATGCGAACATCGGTCGACTTGGACATTTTCAGTGATACTTTACTCTGTTTAAAAGATATAATAATAGAAACGATTAAATGAAACATTACTCTTAAGCATTATTAATAATAGTAATAATATTATCAATAGTAAAAAGTTATTTGACTGATAGTAGCTAACAGTAGAATCCGGGATGAACATTTCGTCCCGTTTGTGGTTGGTCAGTTGGAGGTTCCTCATCCTCCCAACAGTGAGTGATAGTGCTCCCATTGACAGAGAGACAGAAAAGAAACCCAAAAGAACCATAATGAGAAGAAATTTACAGGAGAGTGGATAGTAATATGGAGAAGGATGAGGGTTTAAGGATATGTGAGGTCACCACAAACAGTGAGGTGTATCTAAGCCAATAAGAAGAATTTGGGACCATATGACCAACAGTTTCTAACCATTAGTTCTTAGCAACCCGATGACTTTGGTCTGGTATCTGCACCTCCAAATGTGGGTAAAGGCAGTAAGTAAAGTCTTCCATCGGACTGATACCACGTTTCGGCTTGACCACTCTCCTAACTATTTTACAACATAATTTTATGTGGGCTAACATTTCTCGTTGAGGAAGTAGGTGGCTAGGCAACAAACAATACTTATGAGTAATAATCATCAACACCAATCAGTAATTATGTATGAAATTGAGAATCAGATCACAAAACATGAGAAACTATAGGTAGATAATAATAATGACATAAAGCCTAACAAGGCGGAAAGAAGAAAAGCGATCACCACATTTCTACACAACTCAAATAGACGAAAAACAAGAAGATCTGCAGAAGGCATCTTTCCGCCAACTTCAATATCAATCACAAGCTTTTACACTTCAACTGTGGTGAGAGCTATCTGCAAGTGAAAATTGTAGACAACAATTTACATCAATGTTAACGTCCCGAATCGAGGTCATGAGAAAAACAATAACAAAGCTTAACTTTGAGGAACTCGACAACCAATCACAGCAGACTTAACGTGTGCAAATACGATTCTCAGATATATGGCTTAACTTTCTAAGAAACGGTTATAAGCAATAGAGAAACAACCAATTAGAAGACGTTGCCTCTCCGCTGACAATAATGTACATAGAAATCTATAAATATCTATTGATTGTCTCAATAAACGACCTGTTGCCTGGCCCTTGTATTCTGTCGTTACACAACTATTGCCGCACTCAGCATGAGGAACAAGATTCAGATTTTCAGTACTAATTCAGCACTTCTACATGGTTCAGGAACTTGATAAATGCGTTACCGAAAGCATTTCCAACAGACTGAAGACTTTTATCAACAGATGCCTTCACTAGATACTGAAAATCAAATGGCCACCCAGAAAGGATAACCGAGAAGGAACATTAGCAACAAACCAACAACCTATTCTCCAACAGAGGCGCAGAAGAAAATGGAGAGAGAGAGAGATTAAGCATACGCTGAGGAGACAGCTGAGTGACATCGCATATCAGGCGCTCAAGCGAGACTCGGGTTCGGGTCTCAGGATGACATAGATGAGATAAAAGCTAGCAGTCAGTCGGGGAGATAGCTGTGAAATGGAGATGTGTTGTTGAAGCCCTATGTTCCACTCGGAACGAAGTAGCAGAAGAATAATAACAATAATATTAACAATGATAATAATATAGCATCTAGAAAGAATGAAATCGTAATTTGCCAAGAATATCCCGAGGCGAACCTAATTGTATCATATCCGACTTCAATGTAAGAAAAAAAACACGGAGATTTAAAGTAGCCAAATGTTCCACTTACTACAAAATGTTGTGAAGTGGTATCATTTCGCTTAGCTCAGCGGTTACATTAGAAGCAAGATGGAAACACTTTGATTCAGATTCACTTTACTTTAAACGATAACAGTTAATAGACATGTCTGTATGTACTTAAAAGCTACGTAGCTGCAATGTCCTTGTTTTAAGCTTGCAATGGAATTGACAACTATAAGACTTTTCAGATTACGTGCTTTATTATGTTTACTGTTATCATATTAAAGCTTATTAATCCATCTATCCAAACACTTGTTATTTGCTAAACTGGTTACATTCTATTTCGAATGCACTTAAGAGGAAAGAATTGATGGATGGTGAATAGCAGTGGGATCCAGGATGCGCAATCGTCCTATTTGCGACTCGTCCACCAGCTGGATGTGCCTGCATTTCACAGTGAGTGATGATGTTCCCACTGAGCACTTCGATCCAATCATTCGACGGGAAAATCTTAAATTCAGTTAAATAATTAATTAATATGACCCGTTGTACAAGAGGTGGCTCTCGTGGCGCAGTTACGGTCTAGTGGATAACGCTTTGGCGTTTGAAACTATGGGCACTGGACTCGAGCCTCGGTGGGTACATCACCACCCACTGAGGAATGCAGGTACATCCAGATGACGAGTCTCAAATAGGACGAAATGCGCATATTGGTGCATTCCACTGCTAGTCACCATCCACCAATTAAATTCTAATTACATGCCCAGACATCGTCGAAGCATCCACACAAGAAGCCGACATGTCAACCTGAGACCGAGCACTTCGGTTCAATCAGTCGACGAGAAAACCTAAAATTCAATTATATTTAGGAGGAAAGTTTCGCATTTCCGTAAAATTCTCCTTAAATCCTATCCGTTATTGACGAATTATACAGTCCAATGTGAGAATCCATCAGTGTTCTATGAAATTTTTTTTTTCATTTTTGATTACAGCTTGATTCCACACCATCTTTTTGGTACAAGTATGGAATTCTCAGTATATGATATCGGTAGCCCAAATTTTGCACGCCGACCATAGATATCAGGTGTGAGTCGGCAGGGGATCGAACCAAGATATATTCCAGTAAATCATATATATTGTGGTTTAAATCTGTATTTAATCCTCAGTGGATTAATGAGTTCGCACTGCTGAAGAGTCCCAAACTATGGCAAAACAACTGCTCAGTAGTCTTTGGTATCCAATGGTTCTCTAACTGGTATCGATCCGTTCGTTACCACCCAGTTTGAATTCAATCAAATTCACTGCAAACCAATACTTGGAAACAAATTTATTTCCAGGATCACAAAAATCAAAATATAATATAATGATGAAATAATTAACAGAATGAAATATTATCAAAACAAGATTTTGAGCGAATAATTGTTTCCGATAACCTCTTCTTCTTCAGGCTCTACATTTTTAAATAAATCCATGAATATTAGAGTACATATAGCCAATAAAGGCAAATGAAAATAATATCAGAAGTATACATATGAAACGACACACAAAACTAAGCGAGACACAATAAGTAAGTAAGAAAAAGTTTTACTTAAATTTACAATTCAAAGGCGATATATCCAGCGACATATTAAACCGTAGATTAACAAGATCAATTGAAGGAACTTTCAGTGCCGCAAAACTGATATTGACATTGTGCATTAAAGATAGATTACCCAGAAAATGGCGACATTAATGTGTGTATATAAATTCAACTGCTCCTGTGGAGCTAGTTATACAGGTTGTACCCAAAGGAATTTATCTTTACGCACTCGTGAACATATTCCTGTTTGGCTTGGGAAAAGAGCAACCAAATCATTAAATAGTGCAATTCTGTCTCATCTATTAGTGGATAGCGAACACAGCATCAAAGTAGATGAGTCATTTACAATTGTGTATCGAGTACCGAACAATCACCCCAAAGACACACGATTACGCCTCCTAGCCATAGCTGAGGCTGTAGAGATTAATAGAGAGAGACCAGCCGTATGTGTACAGAAAAAAACTTATTCACTCTCTCTGTCTACCCTGGCCCACTATAAGGTCACCAGGATCATAATTTTCCGTATTATTAGTACCATTATTATCATTTTGTGATATCTTGTCTTTATTATCCATTTCTCCACACAGTTTATTTCACCTCATCGTTACCCTTAATTTTTGTCAACCTTCGTGATTTTATACTAAGCCTACCAATTCTGTAACATCTTATTACAATTTACAGGCTAAAGCCTGTTTATTTTATCATTAGACATTATAGGTCAGCCCTTACATTCAGTGTCCCCTTTGTTAATGTGTGTTTGTATGTATTTTGTGGTTATCGCATTTCTCTCACCCCAATGACACTTGTATTCTGTTGACTATAAAACAGCACTATATCACCCATTTGTGTGCGTCGGTGGCATAGCGGTTAGGACGCTCGCCGACCATGCACATGGTCCGGGGTTTGATCACCGGCCGACGCACTCCTTCACCTCGCTAAGCCAGAAATAATGCTGGTGAAGAGGAAAGGCTGGACATGAGGCTAGCAACCCCATCCTGTAAAATAAACACTGCTACAGAAACTTAAAGTGACTAGCTTGAAGCCCTATGTTCCACTGGGGAAAGTGAAGGAAAAAAAATATCACCCAATTGTTCATTCACACTTCATCCCATTTTTTCTGACTATACACCCCATACACATTTGATTGATTACGTTAACTAATGGACTATCATCTCAACTTACACATGCACCCCAATACAGTTTCTGATATTATTTTCATTTGCCTTTATTGGATATATGTACTCTATTATTCATGGATTTATAACTGTAGAGCCTGAAGAAGAAGTTATCAAAAACAACTGTTCGCTCAAAATCTTGTTTTGATTTCAACACAAAAATGAGTTTTTTTTGTTGAGAAAACACAATATACTACTACTAATACTACTGAAATTGACTTACTGAATTCACCTTATATTCACTTTCTTTTTCCTTTTTATGATTTATAATCATCACACCATTATTATTATTACTATTATCATCATTATTGTTATTTTGGATGTGATCTTTGAGTGGAGTTTTTTCATCATTCCATATTTTACCATCTTCTATGGGTGAATATGTTTCACTGTGAACAGGCGGAGCATTTACTTCAGGCATCTGTCACCACAATGAATAAAAGAGATTCAGAAATATTAAGGCAATGAATATTCGTTAAATATATATGTAACATGTTTGAATACATTTCAAAAAAATATAATAATAATAATGATTTACTTTATTCCAAAAACAGTACTTGTAATACAGAATGGAATTTTCAGCATTAATCACAATATTGCATCTAATTTCCTCAAATTATAAATAAAATTAATCACACAGAAAAGTTTTCCACATTTACAATAGGGGTAATGTCAAAAAAAAACATGCAGCACATAAAATGGAAATAATAATAATGCTAGCAGCTAAGATAATGATAAGAATACAAGTGGAAATTGCCGTGGGCTTTTTTCACACAGTATTGTCGATGCGGTATACAAATCCTAGCATGTTTAATAATATTGAATATAATGTTCCCTTTACATGATATGTTGAGGGGAAAAACAAAGATTACAGCAGTCATAGAGATAAGTTGGTGTTTGCAGTTATGAAAGTAAAAACAAAGAAGAAACAGGACCATAAATATAGTAGAAATCATAAAAGTGAAACTTGAAGGTACATAAGGATGGATGGAGGAAATTGTTTATTTACTAGATGAAAAAAGGTTAGTCAATTCTTGCCTGACGCTATTTTCATCACATAAAATACGTGCCAAGTATGGTATCATAGAATTTTTATACTTAGACGTGCGAGCATACAGTTTTCTGAAGTTACTTCTTCTTCTACCTGAGGAGATGCAAGGTGAAAGCTCAGGGTGAAGTGAATGCTCCAAGTCAGACAAAATCCCTATAGCAAATTTACTGCACGAAGTCAAGTGCCTATCGACAACGACCTTAACTATGTAGTCCACTGGGACACCATTCACCCTACTGACAGTCTTCAGCATTCTAACAATTGTGACATAGTCCTTTTTAAGCAAACTAGGAAAGAATAAGGGTGAACGATAAAGAAGAATAGGTAGGATGCAAGAGTTTATGAACTGTAAGAGGAGGGATTGAGTTATACCCGAGTGCCTTAACTTCTTAATGTAAAATGTCAGGCGGAATATTTTACTGGAGATCGCTAAGACATGGGAAGACCAGGAGAGTTCAGTAGAGAGAATAAGTCCAAGATACTTGATTTCTGATTGAATTCCTATATCACTGTCATCAATCTTACAACTTTCATGAGAATCGACGGCTTCTTTTAACTGTCGTTTACATCTTAAGCTGAAATTAACAGTTTGACATTTAGAAGGATTCAGTTTAAGACCGTTAGACTCAGACCATTTACTGACTCCTGACAGAAAGCTATTTTTATTTTGGTACAATCAGTACAATATAGTATTGATGACAACATAGGAGTGATTATTTTATGTCGGCGGTTACACTGTGGAATGCCTGCCAGTCAACTACCAACGTGGTCTGGGTTCGATTCCCCACCGACACATCTATAAACTCCGCCTTGGCAGTAGTTATTCTGGAAAAGACATAAGGTTGGTCATGAGATCAGAGATTGCACCACTACTGGTTTTACCAACCTTCAACGTATTTGTCCCTTGAGAACAGACTAAGTGTTAGGATGAAAGCTACTCAGAAATGTATGTGAATACAGATTAATCTGCAAGAATGTAAATAGATGGTTACAACAAGGTGTAACTGGGTAAACTTGACACATTATGTGCTGTTGGAAACTAGGTAACGTAGTGATTTAAGCCGGCCGCCACCATCAGATGAAAATGACTACAATTCAATTAAACCTGTCGGAGAATGGAAACATGAATATTGTTCACAAGACTAAACGATTATAAATACGCATAAAGGATTTTTTGAAATCAAGAGATGGGAAGAAAGAAGGGAAAAAACAAGAACAAAAGAATACGGAAAAAATACCAAAGTTAGTGTACAAATTTTTAAAATACGGGGTTTAAAGCCATGGTAGTAAAAGGGACTGGACAAGCCGATTCTGTATCAGGGTTTTCTTTGTGTACATGAAGATCTTCCATCGTGGACAGATGATGTAGCCGAGATCCTTTACACAAGGAAAACCCTGAACGGATTGTAAAGAATTAGTTTGTCCATTCGCTTTAACTATTGTGCCTTTAAATCCTTTTTTAAACTTGTAAAGTAATTTTATGTGTAATCCGGACTCATTCGGCTTTCTCCACCTATCATGCCACCAACCCCTGCATTTCTTTCCTTTCAAACACCTGATTTTATCAAGTTACACTTTATCCATATTCGGAATCGCTTACCCCGATGAACAATATTCCTATTTCCATAACCTTACAGTTTCAATGACAATCATTTCTGAGCAATACTCATCACCACATGATTTTGTTAGATTACGCAAGACTACTTAATTAAGTTTCATAATTTATTCATTGTCTTTCTTGATATATAATTTCATATATGCACATTTCAGCATGCACGGAACTGCCAGTGGATACCACTCCTCCAACGAAAGAAGAAATCCTGAATACGATCAAGCTACTAAAGTCCGGCCTGAAAGGCAGCAGGACCAGATGGCATCCCTCCCGAAGTACTGAAGATGGCCCCAGAGATTACGGCAGATGTTCTCACTCCATTACTGCAAAAAGTTTGAAAAGAAGGAAAAGTGCTTAATGATTGGTAGAAGGGTTACCTTGTCAAACTGCCAAGGAAGGGCGACTAACGCCTGTGCAAGAACTGGCGTGGAATAAATCTCTTGTCCACGCCAAGTAAAATACTAAGTCGCATCATCCTGAAGAGAATGAAAACTGCACAGCCAGTCCAGAACAAGCTGGATTGAGGAAAGGCGAATCATGTGCTCATCAAATTGCAACTCTACGCATCGCCATCACAGAAAAAAGCATAGAATGGCAATCAAATTCCTCTTGACCTCAACTTCATCGACTACGAAAAGACCTTCGACAGACAGCGTTGACCGAGAAGTAATTTGGAAACTACTTCAACACTACGGCGCTCAGTGCCCCAAATATTTATCAACCTCATTACCGAGCTATATGACAATGTAACATGTCAGGTGATCCACAACGAAAAACTCAGCTAGGTGTCTGGAGTAAAAACGGGAGTAAGACAAGGCTGCCTGTCTATTATCATCGATGATCTTCCTAATTGTGGTGAAGTGTATTATGCGTCAGACTGTATGTGGGAGTGAGGAGACATGAGTATGCTGTACGACCAATAATAAGACTCCGAAAGATCTGGATTTCGCAGATGATATACGGTTAATGTCACATAAACTCGAAGATTTGAGGTGAAAACCAAAAACTGACTGAATATGCTAGAAGAGAAGACAGGACTCCAGGTGAATATGGAGAAAACGGAGGGGATGAAGGTTACCAACCAACCACCGCCAACAACAACAACAACCAGCACCAATCACCATCAACCGGAGAGATTTAACAGAAGTTACTTCCTGTCTTCACTTATCTAGGAGGCATCATTTCAACCACAGGCAGTCAGAACGGATGAAGATATCAAAGTCAGAATCGGAAAGGCAAGACAGGCCTTCATCAACCTGAAACCAGGTTGGAAATATTCTACACTCAACATAAGGAACAAGATTCGGATTTTCAACACCAATGTCAAGTTGGTCCTTCTATACGTGTTAGAAACTTTCACTGGTTGTCACGAAAAACATGCTCAACAGATTGCAGACTTTCATCAACAGCTGCCCCCTTCGCTGGTTAGCTCCATGTTGAAGACCAAATTGCCAGAAAAATTACTAACTAGAGACTGTGCGAACAAACCAACCAGGAGCCGATCGGTCAACAAATATGTAGGACAAAGTGGAGATAGATCGAGCATACATTAATGAAGCCGCCGAATTACATCGCACTGCAGGTGCTCCAGTGGAATCCCGTTGGGAAGCGACGAACGGTCTTCAGTGCGAGAGTGGCATGCAGGAGATTTTGTGAGGAAGAGATGTGAGAGTTTGGTCAATTGTGCAGCCAGTTGAAGAGGACGGCAGAAAACAGGACAAAGTGGAGATGTGTTGAAGCCCTATGTTCCACTCGGAACGCAAGGGAATAATAAATAATCTAATAATAATATATGCACATTGAAGTGAATAGAGTCGGTAGCTTATGCTTCACCTGCACTAGAATTATCTTGCATAATAATAAAACCAACGCCAAGGTCCATCTCCAAAACTTCAGTATGGCTCATCAAAAAGAAGGCAAGATGGCAGTAATCACAGGGATATTTTCCAGAATACACCCATTTTAAGTCGTTTGTTCCTTTTGCATGTATTGTACTAGAAAAATCTGCACAACAGACACTCTAGACGGTGAAATAAGGAAAATAGAAAACGTTTTCATACAAGAGCGGATGCCCCGAAAAAATTGTTCAAGTTTCGATGAGGGGAGCAGACAGAAAGAAATGCCTGTAAACTGTGCAGAAGAAACGCATATACATGACTTTACAGTTTAAAGCAGACGCAGTAACTGAATTGCTGGTATCGAAACTTCGGAAAATAATAGATAAAACACTTTTTTGCTAAAAGTTTGTATATAATTTTATAAGTTTAGTTATTAATTGATACGAACAACCGACCTTCATAGGTATTTCAATGACGTTTTAGAACACCACGTTAAACTGCATAGATTTGAAGTGAAGTTACGAAAAGAATATTGTCTATTAAGCTATGGCTTTTGAAAGCTTGACATGAAGTATCTGATTTCTGAAGATGTTGCTCTGCATACTACTTATATCTACTTATCATTATCACCACTCACTATACTTTGATTGGACACTAGTCAGTAACTAGTGTGGTATGTGTTTAGTCCTTTCTTTGGTGCAGACTGAATTCTATCAGTCAGGTTTGGTAAGGTGTCTGACTGCAGCACTGGGTGACGCAGGTGCGAATCTCAGAAAGGAAATGAGTAGCTTCAAGGTTGCAGATACGCCTTGCTGACTGGTGGTGAGTGCCAACTAGCACAAAACTTAGGTTGAGTAGGGCTTCCTGCCAATCGCCTCCAACCACCTAATATCACCCACTATACTGTTGGAATGGGGCACACCACAGAAAATCTTTATTAATCATGAAACTAATGCTGAGAAAAAGTTATAGCAGTGTTAATCTAAAATAAGCAAATCAGAAAAAACATTTCTTTTTCATTGGACACTGAGCAGTAACCGATTTCGTACTCCAGTCCTTGGTGTTGATGTAGACCGAATTCCACCAGGCAACTTTGCAATACGGTCGCCATGCTAGGCAGCTTCTTAGAGCGCTGCACTCCGGATTGGTTTTTGATTGTTGGAGGTAATCAGCAGGAAGCCTTGAACCTAGGATTCGAACTTGCTGATACTAGTCAGCAAGGGGTATTCAGAATCATGAAGGCACTGTCAATGAAATCTACAAGTTATTTTAAGCCAGCCAGTCACTTAGGAAGGTGTAGACTTCACGGTTGGGGTCCTGGGGACGGTGAAAACCAATGGCTGGAGACAATAGGTGACATGACGCAAAATCGTTCTCAATGAATGGCGCAGATGTATCCACTCCTTGTGACTTATAATTTCCAATGAAACTATATTGTTCTTCGTTATTACTATTCCTTTTGTCTCATATCCCTGTCTACTGTCTCTATTATGCATTTCTTTTTACTTTCTTCTCTTGCTTTGTGTGCTACATGGAGGGACAGTGGCGACTTGAACTACTGCACATCAGCGCAAAGTTCTATGGTAAAGACAGACAGATAAAAAGGCACTTATGTCCCGTCTGAAATCTGAATACGCAGCAGCCCTAGGGGAGGTGAGACATGGAGCAACCTTCGAGTTTTCAACCAGCAAGAAACCTAGGTCTAGGATCTCCTACCGATCGCCTTCAACAATCTAAAAAGCATATATCTTTTAAAAATTCGATGGACACACACAAACACACATAAGGAAAATCTTTCTGCTTACTTCAAATTTCAACAATGCTGAATATAATCCATAAGTTGATGCAAGTTCTGTATGCGTCCCGCTCTGTTTAATACAACCATCTTCTAGGACAACAATTTTATCAGCATTTTGTATAGTTGATAAACGATGCGCAATAATTATCAGAGTACGATTAAGCTTAATCTTTTCTAAAGCGGATTGAATCATTCTTTCGGAATGATTATCTAAAGCGGAAGTAGCTTCATCCAGGATTAGAATTTTCGGTTTACGTATCAGTGCACGAGCAATAGAAATACGCTGTTTTTGACCAATAGATAATTCTACACCGCTTCGAGATATCATTGTTTTATAACCCTTTTAGAATAGAGGAAAAGAAAACAAAACACACATCGTTAACACTAATTACATCGCCAGTGAAATCGAAAAATGAATCAATCAACGTACAAGAAATGCAGAAAAAAGAGACTACACAAAAATGATGAGTAAAGACAAAAGATGTAAGCGACCAAGTTAAACTTTAAGCACCACTAACTACCAATCAGCGAACGACGTCGAATTGTCCAATGAGATTCATCGAAATGAGTTCAGTGTTGTATAGCGCTTGATTCGTTTCAAATGCGTGCCCTAACGAAGTTACGGTTGCAGTTCGAGGAGGACAAGGTTTTGCAGTATTGCCTGGATTCGGGGTTGCTTAGGAAGGAGGGGATTTGTTCGTGTGGTGGTGTGATGAGTTTAAAAAGCTTTAGCAGGTCAACTGATGGATATGTCCATCGTTGAGCAATTTGTTTGAGACGAGTTAGCGTTAGAAAACGCAAGCTGATAATTTTAATATTTCGTAGAAACATTTTTAGCAAGGATGCATCTCTCCTTAACGCAGATTTTGTATATTTGCAACTACTGGGTTTTAAAACAGCCGGTGAGAGCCGCAGCTGCTGAAACCAAAAATAGCCTTGTCTCTACAGTTCAGTGGTACCAGGACTGCAGAGACATTGCATCATGGAAAATGGAAAAAATTACTTCTATGTTGGATGGAGAAAGCATCGTTGTGCACGTGGACGAAACTGCGTTGGCGAAGAAAAATGCAACCGTTGTCGTCAGCGAGCCAAAAATATTTGGGTAATTGGTTTATACGACACTTCCCCACGAAACGGATTCATGGAAAGAATACCAGATAGATAGGCAACTACTCTAATGCCTATTATTACCAGACTTGTGAAACGGGTATAAATAATACACACGGATGAATAGAAAGGTTATGACTCCCTGTCATCTCTTGGATATATTCATCATAAAGTGAACCATTCCATTGATTTTGTCGATCCTATTACGAGGACACACACAAATTCTATTGAAGGATTTTTGTGGAGTTTGAAAAATACGATTAGTATGATTAATAAGTAAATTATTATTATTATTATTATTAAAAATGGATCTCAAAAGGATCTCATTTATAGTCATTTGGATGAATATATGTACAGAATGTGGTGTGACTTCTCTATTGACAGTCCTATGCTTAACTGGGAGATGTTTCTCTCACGTGTTAGAGAAAGATACCCTGTGCAACAGTTGTATGCTATTTTTCCATAAATATACGTTTTTATTTATCGAAAATCCCTCTTTCATATGATTGGTCCGTTGAAGGTCGTTTGCTGATTGGTTGTTAGTGGTGCTGAAAGTTTAACTTTGCCATGTTAGCAGTTGAAAAGTGAGACTTGATGACCAAATGAATCCCTAATGACCTACCGGGGTTCGAACCCTGGCGGTGGATGCGTACTGTTAAGAATCTCAAACTAGGAAGAAACAGCTGTCTAGTACTCCCAGATTTTCCTGTGGTTCTGTAACCGATGTCAGCTCATGATGAAATCCTCCATGCAATCAAACAAAATCCCTTCATAACCAATACTTGAAAGAAAGAAGAGTAACATGGAAGAACATGAGAGTTCAATGTCTACAGGAGACTACAAAGAATGAATGCATCTATCTGCATCACTGAAAGCGATTTTGAACCTTATCACCGATAATCCCCAGTCATCGATTCATGGACTGTCGAGGACTTCAACCAAGCAGTCTCCACCTCCTTACGTGGCTGACTCAAACTTACAGTAAGTGAAAGACTTTATGTATTAGTGTCAGGTTTTGATTTAACTGCCTCTAAATCCCTCTAAACTAATCTATAAATTCAGACAAGTAGTATAACAATTTCGTCACGGATTATATAAAGAGAAAAAAATCACACCTTCTGTAACCTCAACTAAAATTAGCGTGGAAACTGTGAACGTGGTATAATACTACTGAGCAATCAATAAGAGTAGTTCAACCGGAGTCGTCGTCCGTGCTTACGCGTAGCGGACGACCATACTGTTCATTTGAGTCCGAGCTAATCACCAATGCACAGAGAGAGAGAGAGAGAAAGAGAGATCAGTCAGTTGGGCACACTCTGTTCACGTATCACCCCCTAGTACTGTTGCTTTGACGATGTCTAAGGGTTAACACAATGTTATACGCAAGGATAGTGACTAACAGTGGACTCCAGGATGCCTAGCTCGTCTTATGTGAGACTTGTTAGTTCGATGTACGTGAATTTCCCAGTGAGTGCTAGCGTTCCCACTAAGATTTGAACATAGCAACCACAGTTACACACGTTAAAACGTTGTCCACTAGACCACTTGGGTCACGAGAGTCACTTTTTGTGCAACATCTATCAATTATTATTTGTTAAAGTCAATTTTTTTTCGCTGATTGACAGGATCGAAGTGTTCGGCCTCTGTTGATATTATCACCCTCTAGTACAGACGCCTCAACGAAATGTGAGGATGAATATAATGATGAAACACAAATAGGATGAAATTCAAATTCTGAAGTGAACTGATAGTTACTGCCCACCGAATAACACTCAATAATTGGCTGCCTCGTACTTAGACGGAACAGTAACATACATATAACGAAAATGTGTCATTTATTATGATAATGAACCCATAACTTGTGAAAGTTTGTGATTATAAGTAGCCGATAAATTCAACGTGATATCAACAAATACCTTAATATACATAAATTTACAAACAAATGATAAATATAAACCAGTCATAGAGATTTTTCAATTGGATTATAAGATTATGCACATTAATTGCGCAATTAGTCATCATAATAGTTATTGATAAAAGTATAAAACTTGGGCACTGTGGTAGAGTTTAACCCCATTTTGGATGAGATTTCATTTTGATAAACCACACAGTGTGTCACATAGTAATATTAACTGATGACCACGTTTCGAGTACAAATTATTGCCACTCATAATCATATCAAGTCATTCATACAACTTCCTTGCTTCATTTATATACATGAGCGGAATTGATGAATAGATATTTGAATAAAAATCAATATGGGATAATATACATTCAGAAATAATATTAGTGTTATCAATCAAGTAAGGTCAGATGGGAAGTAAGACGAGTGTTTTTATAGTCAAAATAAGTAACTTGTTAGAATGTTATGATGTACGTGAATTGAAATAGAATTTTAAGATTATTTATTATCCTCCTCTGATTTGACTGACTGGTAGTAATAATATCTTCCATATCTCTGGTGTTTGCATTGAGTGGCGAGACTAATAATGATAATATAAATAAGAGAGAATATAAGGCATCTACTGTTATACCATATAAGGTGGGAGGGGACATCTGAGGCCCTACGTAGGATTCTCAATAAGGCAGGAATGAGGGTAGCATTCAAACCTACAAACTCAATCAGACAGGACAAGCTCTGTAGGCTAAAGGACCCTGTAGGTTGACCGAATTAAACAAAATAATATAATTTACAAAATACCTTGCAATGACTGTAAGTGAGGTCAACTACATAGGTCAAACTAGTAGGTGGAGTTTAGTTAGATTGTCAGATCATAAGAATTTAGTTACGGTTAGAATGATTGATCCCACGAATATAAGTAATTAGGAGAAAAGCTCAGCGATCGCATTGCATGTATTAACATACAACAACACAATAGAGTGGGTGGGACAGAGTCGAAATTCTAAAGAGTAATATAGGTAGGTGGAGAGAAGGAGAGGTTGAACGCTGAATCCTGCCCGGTTCATCGAATCTACACCCAACACAACACATGCAATAGAAATAACTCAATGGAAATACCAGAGATATGGAAGATATTATTACTACCAGTCAGTCAAATCAGAGGAGGATAATAAATAATCTCAAAATTCTATTTCAATTCACGTACATCATAACATTCTAACAAGTTACTTATTTTGACTATAAAAACACTCGTCTTATTTCCCATCTGACCTTACTTGATTGATAACACTAATATTATTATTATTTCTGAATGTACTTTATCATCTTACATTGATTTGATTCAAATGTCCAACGAATTTCACTCATGTATATAAATTAATCAAGAAAGTTGTGTGAGTGGCTTGATATGATTACGAGCAATAGTTTGTGCTCGAAACGTGTGGTCATCAGTTAATATATCTGTATAACACTGTGTGATTTATCAAAATAAAATCTTATCTAGAATGGAGTTATAATAATAGTTGTATTTTCAAGTATTGATTTGTAGGGATTTGATCAATTGGTTGCAGGATTCCACCATGAGCTGACATCGGTTACGGAACCATTGGAAAACCTGGGAGTAATGGACAGCTGTTTCTATCATCCCAATCTGGGACTCTTCAAAAGAACTCACCCACCGCCAGGGTTCGAACCCGGGATCTTCCGATTAAAAGGGGAGCTTGTAGACCATTAAACCAATGGGACCCGATCTAATGGCCCATGAATTCCGAATTCCGGTAATTCATGACAAAGATGAAGCATAGCGATTTGTGGTAATAAGAATAATGAAAATTGACATGATTAAACAAACAAATATTCAGATTGGTATAGCAGATACAGGTTAAGAAAAACAAATAATCGAATTAAGTTGCGCTAGATTGCAAGGAAGGCAGAACCAAGAAAGACAGTGTGAGGAAGATCATTGACACAAAGGATTTGAGAGTATATATATTCATGATGTCTTGATAGAGATAAGTTATCCAAGTGGTTACATAAAGAAGCATACGACCAAATTAGACAGAAAAAAACATTATTTATTAAGTTACGTCTTAATGGAAACTTGTCAAGTCTCCGAAAGTATACGGCGAACATTTTACTCCGGAAACCTGTGTTAGTCATTTTCTAGTCGACTGGGATTTAAACGAAAGGCAAGATAGATTGTTTTGCTACGTCTATGTGTATTTCCCAATTCAACTGCACTTGTGGTGACAGTTATGTTAGGCGTACTACTAGACAGCTTAACCGACGTGTCACTGAACATCTCCCATTATGGTTTGGTACAATGCAAACAAGAAAAAGATATTCAGTTGATAGTGGCTACTCAATGGACAAAATACAAGCGTTCAAGGTAATTCATGACATCCAATCAAATCTTGCTAATGGACACCCTATTTCTCTACTGCATATAGCTAAGGGGATTGGCATTCGACCAATTAGGCCCAAAATATGCATTCAAGGGAAGTTATTTCAGCCATTTTCTCTCCCTTGAAAAGTAAAGACCTAATCAACGGCCGAAACCACCAGACCCTTTATATATTTTACATTCCTTTCTTAACACCTTTTATTTTATTGCACGTTCAATAAAACAGTTAATTTAATTCCGTTACAATCTTAATACCATTTTTTCCTTTAATTCCTAGAGGAACATAGGGCTTCAGCCGCACGTCTTTATTGCGTTCGGCTCTCAGCCAATGTTCTCGCCTGGATCCACGTCTGCCCACATGCTTTCATCTTCTCTTCACATGACCTCCTCCATGTCACCCTCGCACTGATGACCAACTCGTCGCTTCCCAATCAGGTTACACTGGAATAATCGCCTGGCATGTGATGTCACTTGATGGTTTTCTCAGACTATGGTCAAACCACCAACTGCATATTTGTTGCACAATCGGTTCCTGATGGGTTGGTTCGTTCATTGCCAGAGATCCCTCCCTGTTGCTGATCTTTCCTGGTCATCTGATCTTGCGTATTAAGCGAAGACAGCTGTTAATGAAGGTCTGTAGTTTGTTTAAAGTTCCCTTCGTGACGCAGTGCCGAATCTCTGATCCATAAAGTAGCACTGACTTCAGCTTGAAGTTGAAAATCCGGATCTTATTTTTCATGCTAAGTGCAGTTGACCTCCACACAGACTTGAGAGAAATGAAAGCTTGCCTTGCTTTCCCGATCCCGGATTTGATGATATGCTTATCAGTTCCGTCCGCCTGTAGTTGAAACGATGCTTCCAGATAGGTAGGTAAAAGAGGTTGCTTCTTTCGGACTTCTCCCATTTATGTTGATTGTTATCTGTTGTCACTGTTAGCCGGGAATTTTCACCGCCTCTATTTGCGCTGTGTTCACCTGAAGTCCTGTCTTTTCTGGATGCCCCTTCTGCCAACTTGTTGCTTTTCACTTGCATAGCTTCCAGTTTTTGAGAAATCAGACATATATTATCGGCGATGTCCAGATCCTCCAAGTTTTTTGTGTGGGTCCATTTTATACCTGTTTCCTCGCTGCCCGCTGTCTGTCGTATTATCCAGTCCACCGGAACCAGGAAAATCATTGGAGATAGTAGGCAACCAGCCAACCTTGTCTTACTCCCATCTTCACTTCGAAGGATTCCGTGAGTTTCCCGTTGTGGATTAGTTGGCATGCAGCATTATCATACAACTGTTGGATGACTGAGGTGTATAATTGTTGGAGACATGCCGTAGTTGCGAAGTAGTTTCCAAACCACCTCTCGATGGACACTGTCAAAGACTTTTTCAAAGTCGATAAAGTTGAGGTAGAGAGCTGACTGCGATTCCAATCTAGGATTACTTAATCCGACTATTTGTTTTCCCTAACGCTTATCTACTACATCTATTTAAATATTTATTTCTCGAATCCCCATAATTACTTTATATTTAATATTTTTTTAAAGTTATGTATATTAGAGTTACGCCTGATGAGATCCAGTTGAAAACAATATTGTTCACTTACTTGTGTTATTCTAAACTTTATTATAGGGATTCCTACTTGTAACTTCCAAAAATATACAGTTTTCACCGAATACCAGATTTACTATTCAGTGACTGAACCACCGATTTACTTCGCAGAAATGAGCGCTTACTTCAGGCGTATCTAATTCGTTTTCACATAGGATGAATGTATCATCCATTTGTGGACAATAACATGTGAACTTTCAAGTATCGGTTTTTAGGGATCTCATCGACTGGTTACAGGATTTCATCATGAGCTGACATCGGTTAGAGGACCATTGGAAAAATGTGAACTTTTTAGTAAACTTTGTAATGAAGTGTCTTAAAGCTTCGTCTGTTAGGATGGGAGTTCATTATGAACTCCTTTTCATCTCATCCATCAGCCTATAGAGTGTATTTGAAATGCATATTCACGGTACACTTGAATCATAATTCGTTTTTGAATTTTTATGGGGGATTGTAGCATTTACTGACTTCCCATTTACGTGTTCACATAAATTATTGATAATATTTGTGAAATTCTTTCATGAATTTTTCAATTTTCACTAGCAATATATGTAATCTTTCTAGAAGTCATGTACTATTCTATTTAGCCTGTTTAAATGATTTACCCTGTTTTGCCATACTACATTTGGTGTATTCCCGGAGTTCTAGTAAGACGTCGTGACCAGTGAAGTTCATCCAGTGGGGAGTGACGACAAATACTCGACAGCGATGACACTGGCTAGTGATCGAGATAAAATCATGAATTGAGAGAAGTTAGAATTCATCAGCCACTGGATAGGGTCCAAGCGGCTGAGTGGTATACGAGCTTGTCTTGTAACCGGAACGTCCTGGGTTCGAACCCTGCTGATGAGTTCCAAACTAGGACGAAACAGCTGTCCAGTACTCTCTGTTGCTTTTCAATTATTCCCTAACTGATATCAATTTGTGATCTGATTTGAAATAAATCATTTACTCCAGAAATATGCACTTATCATAAATACACCAACAAAGGGAAAAACTATTGGAGAATTGAATAATTAAACTGTATAATACCTGAGGTAATTTGATAATGAATTCATGAGCATTGGCCAATTTCGCTGCTTCTATAATATCATCATCATTACATACAGTATCTTTTAAACACCCCAAACGTATATTCTCTGATATTGTTCCTGAGAATAAAATTGGCTCTTGTTGTACAATTCCAATGAGTGAACGAAGCCAACTAACATTTAATGTAGAAATGTCTGCATCATCGAAAAGTATCTAAAAGTTGTAAGGAATAGGGATATTATCAGTTAACATTATCATTACTATTAAAAATGAAAACTTGTTACATATAATGGGCACCAAGAGATGCGCTATATAACAGTAATAAAACAATACATATATAAGGAAGAAAAAGACAGAATGAATGAGGTGTAACGACAGAAGACAAGGGCCAGGCAACAGATCCTTGATTCAGAAAATCAAGAAACATTTATAGATTTTTATGTACATTATTATTAGCGTTATTATTAGCAGAGAAACAGCGTCTTCTGATTGGTTGTTCTCTCACTGAAACTTAATATGTAATCTCTTTGAAGGTCAGACCATCTACCTACGAATAGTATCCGCCTACGCAAAGTCTGCTGTGATTGGTTGTTGAGTTAGTCTTTGTTATTGTTTTTTTTCTCGTCACCAAGATTTGGGACGTAAACACTGACGTAAATTGCTGTCCACCAATTTTGGTTAGCAGACAGCTCTCACCACAGAGGGACGTCATCCAGAAAGCAAGGCTGCATACTTGTCAAGATCATTCATCAAGTATTACTTCATGTTACTTTCAGAAAGGGAAGAAAGCAGGAAATTGCAGTTTGTTTGCCACTGATTATGATTCTTGACCATATCTGATAAATGCTTCGAGGCACTGATTCGAATAATCTCTCGGACCTCAAACACAGGGAGTCGTGATGTTTCAACGGATGTTAACCTACCTAGCGAATAACGAGAGATATGGAAGTCTCTGGAATGAAAGTTCTAGAAAATGTCCAAGCTAACGAAGACGCTTTTTCAAGACTCAGTGAAAGGTGATCTCCACTTTATCCAAACACGATGCAAGACCTTAGAATTACTCATACGATGACGCCATCGAAATCGAATAATTTCAGGAAAGTATTATTATTGTTTCTTTAAATTCCTAGAGAAACATAGGGATTCAGCTGTGCATCTCCATTGCGTTCGGTTCTCTGCTAGAGTCTTCACCTGGCTCCAAGTCTGCCCAAACTCTTTCATCTCCACCAACTCACCGCCTCCCTTTCGGATTCCACTCGAGCGATGGCTTGTCTAGTGATGTCACTTGATGGTTTTCCCACACTATGCCAATCCATCTCCATTTCTTCCTGCCTATTTGTTTCACAATCGGTTCCTGGTTGGTTCGCTCATTGCCAGAGATCTCTGTTGCTGATCTTTTTTGGCCACCTGATCTTAAGTATTGAGCGAAGACAACTGTTAATGAAGGTCTGTAGTTTGTTTGAGATGCTCTTTATGACGCACTGGCCAAGTCTCTGATCCATCCGTATAGTAGCACTGACTTCACATTGGAGTTGAAAATCCGCATGCTGAGGAGTGCTGTTGACCCCAAGCAGACTTGAGAGTAATGAAAGTTTGATTTGCTTTCCGGATCCTAGCTTGCATATCCTCATCAGTTCCGTCAGCCTGTAGTTGAAACGATACTTCCCAGGTAGGTAAAGGAGGTTGTTTCTTTCAGGTTCCTTCCATTTATGCTGATTGTTGTTGTTGGTGGTGTTGCCCAGGAATCTTCATCACCTCTGTTTTCTCTATGTTCACATGAAGTCCTGTCTTCTCTAGATGCTTCTTGTGCCAACTTGTTGCTTTTCGCTTCCATATCTTCCAGTTTGTGGGATATCAGGCATATATCATCGGCGAAGTCCAGATCAGGAAGGTAGCGACGATCGAATACTATAAGTTACTCATGGAGACATAATGTCACAATAATACAATCACACAATGAAAATCAAATGAAAAACGCTTCATCGTGAACCTTTTATTAGAGATCATTATTGATTAGCTTAGATGATTGGCAACCACCTATTTCAGAAGTACAATGCAGGATATACTACATCATATGAAATGAACAGCAGTGCACTATACACTACATCAAATAAATAATGTTACATTAAAACTGTACAGAGATACACAGTACTGAAGTTTAACCCTCAGCATGTGCTATGTAACATTTTAACTGAAAATGTATGTCATTTGAGATCGATTTATTGATATTTTTACACTGGATATTTCAAATTCTAGTAAATATTTTGGTTGACCGTAAGTGTGAAATCGAATGCCAATAAAGCAGTAGATTTAACTTGTGAAAAAGGCACATATGCTCCTTAAATGTAGGAGTAACTTGCGTTTCAAAGGTTTTTCCTGTTTTCTGATGTTTCCGTTGTGATCGGGGTTAGTCTTCCAGGCTAGGGTAGCTGACCCTATCCCCGACCTTTTTTCTTTCTCCGGAACTACCTAGTAAGCTGGGTTAGGAGAAGTCTTTAGTAACGAAATCCCCTACTAATATCCTCAGTCACATCTGAACAGAAAGAACATTCCGCTCCTAGCATTATAGGCATGTGTTAACTGTGATCCTGACCCTCAATTTTCTATTTTTTTCATCTATGTAATTAATTACGTCACAGTGATTACTTGTTTGCGTAGGTGGTACAACGGTAGAATGCTTGCCAACCACGCCTCACGTGGTCCGGGGTTCGATCCCCAGCCGCTGACGCACTCCTTTACCTCACTCATTACGACAGTAATAAGACTGGTGAAGACGGAAGGTTGAACATGAGGCTAGTAACCCCATCCCGTTAAAATAAATTGCACTGCTACCGAAACTTCAAGCCTCTGGCTTACGTAGAATTCTCAATGAGCCTAGAATTAGGGTAGCACTTAAACCAACTAACCAAACAACTCTCTGAGATAAACTTTGTCGGGTTAACGACCCATTAGATCCAGTTAAGAAAAATAATATAATTTAATAAATACCATGTAGTGGCTGTGAGGTCAATTACATAGATCATACTAGTAAATCGGAGTCAACTGGATTATGGGAACATAAAAATTAAGCTAGACCTGGAATAATTGACCCTGCTAACTTAAATAACGTAGAAAAAACAGAGCTCGGTCATCACATTGCATTCACATGCATGTAGTCAAACTTAAGTTTGAGTGGAACGGGGTGAAATTACTAAAACGGTAATATAGTTGGGCGGAGACAGAGAGAGGTTAATCACTGAATATTTGTTTATCGATTCAACACTGCACACGTGCAATCGAAATGACGTAACACGTCTATAACAGAGATATGGAAAATCGTAACATGCAACAAGGGGAATCTGGAGAGAGAGAAAATATATGTAAGGCAAATTGTAGAACTGTGTGACTAAATTAGTGTGATTTTGAGCAATAATTTATGCTCGAAACCTTGTCATCCAGTTGTTAATACTGCATCGCTGTGTAATATTTAAAATAAACATATCCAATATGGAATTACATCCTACCATAGTCTAATTGCTACACCGACACTAATAATACTCCAGCTCTCGCAAAACCTATGAGATTTCGTGTGTCTCACCTTCTGGTACTCGTAGCATGTCGTATAATCTGGGACTCATCAGTTGGATGGATCTGCATCCATCACTCACCAAGAGTTCAGGTGACGAGTCTCAGAATAAAATGATTTTAATGCTAACCACCATTAGACAAATATACCATCATGTTACTGGGATCACACGTGAAAACACAGCCCGATTGAAAGCAGAACAACTGTCCAATCTTCTCTAGATCTCAACGATTTTCCAGCTGAAGTCACCCCGTAATCAATCTAAAAAACAATTGCTGCTGATTTTGATTTCCAGCCAACATATGAAGTCATCAGAGGTAGGCTGATCCCTAGAAATGATCTACACAGGAAAAAATAGTTTATAACTACTTTTCTTCGACTATTTCTCTAAAGGCGATCGAATTGACAACTTATTCTATTTTGAATTACACAAATCTTTCGGCCTCTTTTTAATTTTTGCATTTTACATCAAAAAGGGCTGCTATATTTGCATTTTTGAGGAAGTAATCATGAACATTTTCACAAAAAAAACATGAATGTATCACTCACATACACACACACACAAACAGAAGAAAGTTAATGTAAACCAACTAACTTAAGGTCACTTTTACAGAGCATTGTCTTCCAAAAATGAGCTCAATTGACTCATGAAGAAAGAGAAAAGAAAGAGGAAGTATATATTGTTATGTAGAAAGCAAAAAATATCAATATAAATACGTTTATACCTGTCCACTGTCTGGATCATAAAATCTTTCCAGTAATTGAGTTATTGTCGTTTTACCGCATCCACTAGAGCCAACTAAAGCTGTGGTTTGTTTTGCTTCTATAGTGAGATTAAGGTTTTTAAACACCTACAACAATGGTAATAATAATAATGAGTTAAAACAAGCGACATAGAAAAGGATTATTGATTCTAAAAATTCAAAGAGCATTCATTCACCGTACTTGTTGAAAAATAGAATGTTATACAAACTTTATAAAACTATCAAATATGATATGTATGTATATATATGCTGCAAATACTCAACAGAAATTCATGCAAAATAACCGGAATAAACATTGAAAAACAAAACATGGAGGCAGCGAAAATTTTATTGAACACTGGACAACCGACTGAATAAAACAAAAGTACTTGCATCACAAAATGAATAATACCAAATAGGTATAAATGACGTAAGTGACAATTGATAGACAACCAAGCTGTAGGTGTAAGTTTTCAACTCTACGTTGGGGGTCATACTGCTGACGAATAAGGATGTAATAGTGTAACGACAGAAGGCAAGGGCCAAGCAACAAATCGTTTATTGAGAAAATCAACAGATATTTCTAGATTTTTATGTACATTATTGTCAGCGGGGAAGCAACGTCTTCTGATTGGTTGTTTTCTTGCTCAAGGTTATCCTGTATTGCCTGTGACCGTTTCTTAGAAAGTTAAGCCATATATCTGCGAATCGTATTTGCACACGTTTAGTCTGCTGTGATTGGTTGGTGAGTTCCTCAAGGTTAAGCTTTGTTATTGTTTTTTCTCATGACCTCGGTTCGGGACGTAAACATTCATGTAAATTGCTGTCTACAACTTTCGGTTTGCGGCTAGCTCTCACCACAATAGTAGTAAGCAGTTCCTCTCAGAGGACCAGCTGCACTACCTGTCCACTGTGAATAGGGAGGGGTAGTTATAAGAAATGTCGACCCAGAAAGTTGTACATCACTACTTACGTTGCAGTGGTAAGGTTTTACTATAGATAAGACTCTAAAGACCAGCTCAAACAGACCACGTGTAACTGGTTTTTAAGCAGTTGTCGCTTGCACTGTGCAGTTACGTAACACTAATGCTCCTTCTGTTTCCAGTACTTCAAAAAGAAATCAACTTTCATGGTACTGCTAGGCGGGAAGTACTAACCACACACACACACTCTCAACCTGTTAGTAGACATGTATAAGGTCGTCCTTTTTGATTTATGCAGTCAACTCTCAGTGAATGAATTATGGGTTCAAACTCTGTTACATTTGGAGAGGTTTGGATAACACTTTGACAAGATAATAAGAAGATGTAGATTATTGGAGATGTATTACACACTAGTGCAACACATTTCGAATATTCTGATTACACACATATATGTGTGAAGATTAACAGAGGATAAAAGGTCAAAACTAAAATCATCACGTGTAAAAATGATAACTTAAGGGTGACAATCACAGATGAAAACAATAACTTTTCCGTATGAGAATTAAAACATCATCAAGGAGCAATCAGTGTTAAGACCAGTAAATTTTCAGTATATATATATATATATATATATATATATACGTATATATAGGTGGGATTTAAACAGCACCCGTTCACTCTGTCATTCTTTGTGATAGTAAAACATCGCCGGTAAAAGGGGAAAAGCTGAAAAGACTAGCTGTTTTTGACTACAGATGTTTATATTGTATCTCCCATGTTAAGTGGTATAGTACAGTGAGCGATATTGAGGTTAGGAGTAGAGTTTTTGGTAAAACGCGTAAGTTGGTTGGCGAGGTTGTGAAGCCACATCGATTGAGAGGGATCGTACACATATTATGCACCGTAAGACATCGCATCCCACGTCCAACAATGTTTAACGACATAGGATTAGGCCTAAAGAGAGTTACGAGTAGTTTAACCGAAACTTTTTGTCGATGCATGGAATCTTTAACTTTTGCTGAGTAAGTAAAAGAACTTCAGTTGTGGAAGCAAAAGTTACCACCTGGTGATCTTATAAACTGCCTTAAACTGGACCCCGAGATACTCGACTACACTTTATCTAACAGATTTAAGGAATAAACGCATCATTAAATGGGCTGACAACATGTTATACTGTAAGAGCAGAAGGCAAGACACCGAAGCCAAGGTATATTTTCAAGTGATCAAACCTCTATTTATATATATATATATATATATATATATATATATAGTTTTAGATTCTCTAGTTGATCATTTAGCGTGTGATTTTGGTTTACATTAAACGACATGAAATAGAATGTTCAAATACATATATAATATTCTGTTGCTAATGCCATATTGAATTGTGAGAATAATATTCCGTTGGAACACACTGTCTGTATCACACCACCACAACACCATTTAACTGGAAAACAACATTGGATAGTAATCATTCAACACATTTTTCGACAGTATACTCTCAACCTTAATGTGTCTATAATTTAGTTGTTAAAAGTACAAACACTACGGAGATTTAGCTAATGATTTAAGATATTGACTGAAATAATTTCAAGGATCTCAATGACTGCACACCTTATTTAGCTTATTTATCTTCAAAGATAATAACATTCCCTTTAGTATTACCATTTTGCTTAAGTACAGGTTTACACTGTTGCACTAAAATTACGGAAGAAGATTCGGACTTTCGACAGTGTAATGTCAAATCAAGTAGTTTCTCTATATGATCAAGAGTAATGGTGCTCGTGTCATGAAAAGCATCTCAAACGGACTGCTGCAGACTTTCATCGACAACTACTTTCTCTCTACACTAAAGACCGAATGGCCATTCAGAAATGGACTAACCAACAAGCTATTGACGAAGAAATATACCGTAGGAAATAGAGATGGATTGGATGTACGCTGAAGAGATCGTTAAATGACATCATACCCAAGGCTGTAGAGTGGAACTCAAATAGGAAACGAGTTGGAAGAGTGTCCAAGGTTGACATGGAGGCGATCGTGTGAGGAGGAATGAAAGCTTATGGGCAGTCGTAGAGTCTGCTAAGCGCGACTGCAAAGAACAGGATGAAATACCGATGTGTTATTGACGCCTCGTGTACCACTCGAATCCGAGGGAATCACAGTAATGTAAGAGTTACACACAAGTTTGTATGGATGCACGCCAATGCAAAAGGCGAAAGTGTCTTGTAAAGTTAATTGTTATAGCAAAAAATAGGAGTCCAAACTGAAATAGTATCATCAATCGAAGACTTAGAGATATCGAATTTCGATAATTTGACTGACTGACTGGTTTCAACACAGAACTTTGCACCCATGTGCAGCAGTTCGAGTTGCCACACTTCCCTTAGCACATGAAGCAAGAGAAGAAAGTAAAAAGAAATGCAAAACAGAGGCAGTAAACAGAGATATGAGGCAAAAAGAATAGTAACATGGAAGACACATATAGTTTTATTGGGTATTATAAGTCACAAAGAGTGGATGCATTTGCACCAACCAGCCATTGAGAACGATCACTTTGAGCCAAATAACCACTTGTCTGTAACCATTGGGTTTTACCATCCCGAGGGCTCCAACCAGTCTACACCTTCCTACTTGGCTTAAACTAACCGTTGTGGATTTCATTGACTGATGAAGCCATGTTTCGGTTTGACCACCACTGGCTCCTTTCCAAACTGATGCTATGTCAGCTAACATGCCCATTGATGAGGAAGGCGATAACTAGGCAGGCATTCATAACACATGTCCTAACCATCTCAATCGGTGTGACTTCACAACCTCGTCTATTGATTTACCCTCCTTACCTAGCACTCCACCGAATTATTCCACTTCACACGGGAGAGAGATAGAACGCAGACACCTATGATCACAGACAGCTATCCAGCCTTTTCATTTTTTCCACTTTCAATGGCCATGTCTCACCCACAGCCATAAACGAAAACGGAGCGGACTGGTGAGCAGTACACACGCCCTTTGTTCGACAGCCAGCCGGATATCACGTCTATGCCAAAAACCATGTAAACTGGCGTATGCGAAACGAGTAGTCTGTATCCGTGATGAGATTTCGTCAGCGATCAACCAGTTTGCGTTGGCCGATGCAACTCCCCAAATAAGTGAAGTGGTCAACACGCTCCACCAACAACTTCACTATATATTCTAAGCTTGGAATGGGTCAATGTATTCCAGTCCTGTGGCATCATTTTAAATTTGGTGGGAGCGAATCGCATGTCAAACATTCGAAGATTCCTGCTCAGCTCAAGGTGTTCAGAAGACTGCTCAATTTTGTCAGCATCTTCACCTAGGAGAGAGGACTATATCATCTGCATATTCTAAGTCAAAGAGATTATTCCCTGGTGGTAACAAGTTAATCCATGAGTGTCTGAAATGAGTTAACATATAATAATGCCTTGAAGATACTTTTTTACAACTTAAAATTGGAACTGAATGTGTTTCATGGCATTAGAATACAACATATGAATACAACAACTGATTTCTGAAGATGAATCGGAGATCTGGTTCACTGTACGATTCACGCACCACTGGCCTATCGATCATTAACCTGATGCTCTAAAAACTGAGTTTCCACATGCGGTTGGTAATCAATTTATTACTGGTGGGGTGTGTGAGTATTATCCATGATGATTACAGTGATATGACGCCTTGCTTAGCAGATGGGTCTCAAAGATCAGTTGACACAGGGCCCAATTGGTATCAACAGTAGTCTGTATAATCTTTCACAAAGAAATATCAATACGCCTATTTCAGTCACTATATGATAACGATTTCTAGCGGAGGCTTTATTGAACATAAAGTGTACGTGTGAAGGCATAACATAGATGAAAAATATAGCCAGGTATAATTTGAAGTGACGTATGTGTTACGTTATCCCTCCCAGTCTACCAATAATTTTCACTAAACATATATACAAGTGACATAAATGCTTAACGTCTGTTGACAATATGTTCTCTTATCAGCATGGTCCATTGTTGAGTGAAATGAAAATATACCGAAAACAGGTAACCAATTATAAATTTGTACATAATAGTATTGACGACTTTTCTCAGCATTATAAGTGGAAACAGTTTCGTAAAACGACTAAAAATTCGTGTTTGACAGTCAAATATACTAAGCTAATCAGATAAGAATCTACAGTTGAATCTTTCAAGAACACAAATATCGCTTACGCCAAGTTGTTGGATGAAAACCTGAATAAAAGTTTGATTGGACTACACACATCAGCTGTGCATCTGATTTAAGTTATCTCAGTGGACACCAAGCAGATACTGGCTAGTGGCTCACCCAAGTAGCCCACTACCTTGGTGTAATTTGTAGTCTTGAAGAGAGATCACACATAAAAATTTCCTACTTCGAGTTCACCTAACCACGAAATGATGATATAAAACAGAATCAAGTGAATAATTTGCCGAAAACCTAGAAGGAATTTTTTTTGATTGCATGCAAGACTTCATCATAAACTGACATCAGCTAGAGAACCACTGGAACATAGAGTACAGCAAGTTGAAGATGGGGCAGTAACTCATCGAAGAAGACATTGCGAAATGGTCACGCTATGTCGTGAATTGGGAGAAGTTAGAATTCAAGGACCATTGGATCGGGTTCCAGTGGCTCAATGGTCTACGAGCTCTCTGGCCCTGTAACTAAAAGATCCTGGGTTCGAACGCTGGCGGTGGATGCGTACTGCTGAAGAGTCCCAAAAATAGGACGAAACAGCTGTCTAGTACTCCCATGTTTTCCAGTGGTTCTCTAACTGATGTCAGCTCATGATGAAATCCTCCATGCAACCCAGGAATAGTTGAGAATTCACCAGAGTTCCCGTTGAAAATATTAATTATTCAAACAACAAAAAGTGGTTAGGTACTTTGAACTGATTCAACTCTCTGACCTGGGTCAAATGGGGAACACTGCTGGTTAGCTCAGCTTCAAACTAGCCAAATGCGCGACCAGTGATTAGATCCTTTCGATCTGGTTGGCTAGCAAGCACTACTGCTTGATATGTAAGTGGTACCCAACTACTCATACTCATCAATTAGTAGTATGACGCGACATGTGTAAAATTTTGTTAGATTTTCATTTGGAACATTACAATCAACAGGGGGTATAATCATTTAACATTGAAATCATAAGAAAATATAGGAAATGAATTAAAATTGAAAAAAACAAACAAACTCAAAATAACAAAAGATACGTACAGTTTTCTCACGACGTGATGGATACGAAAATGTAACATTTTTAAATGTTATTTTGCCAGTGAAATCGTTAAGTTTTTCTCCTGAGGATGTTTTATCCACTGAAGGTTTCTGCAGTGAAAAAGAAGAACCATAAGTAATTTTTTAAATGAAATTATCAAAAGGATGCTTTACCTACAACGTAGGTAACAGTGATAATATCAACAATAGGGTTTATTCTCAAAAACATATTTACATACATTAGAGAATTTTCAGCTTGGTCTTGTAGGGATTTTGTTTAATGGGATGGAGGACTTCATCATGAGCTGACATCAGTCAGAGAACCATTGAAAAATCAACTCGGAGTACTGGCCAGCTGTTACGTCAGCCAAGTTTTGGACTCTTAAGCAGTACGCACCCACCTCCAGGGTCCAAACCCAGAACCTTCTGGTTACAACGTCAGAGAGCTCGTAGACCCTTGAGCCACTAGGACCCGATCCAATGGCCAGTCCATGAATTCTAACTTCTGCCAATTCACGACATAGCACAACCATTTCGCAATGTCTTCTTCGATGAGTTACTGCCTCACCTTCAACCTGCTGTACCCTACTGGTCACGGCTTCCCATTAGAACCCCAGGTCACAGCCTGAATAGGCCACTCGCTAGTGAGCATTAGATTAATTTTTAAGTATGGTACAGCAGGTTGAAGATGTGGCAGTAACTCATCGAAGAAGACATTGCGAAATGGTCGCACTATGTCGTGAATTGGTAGAAGTTAGAATTCATGGACTGGCCACTGGATCGGGTCTCAGTGGCTCAATGGTCTACGAGCTCTTTGGCGTTGTAACCAGAAGGTCCTGGATTAGAACCCTGAAGGTGGGCGCGTACTGCTTAAGAGTCCCGAACTAGGACGAAACAGCTATCCAGTACTCCGTGGTTTTATTTACTCGACGGAGTCGAGTTCTATCTGCAGCATGCTCCGATACCTGACGTATTGGTCCCTTGAAAACAAACCAAGCAGTACGATGAAAGATATTCAAAAATGCTGGTGGGGGGGGTTCAGATTGTTCATCAAGAATATAAATGGGCGGTTAAAACAAAGTACAACTGAGTAAATTTGTCGCACTATTTTTCTGTAGAAAATAAGGTAGCCTGAGGATTCAATGAGATCAAATTTTAGAAGGTAATTTATAATAGGTGTAGGCAATAAAAACCATTTTGAGGAATTAAACTTTTTTCAACAATCTCAGTTTAGAGACTTAGGAATAATTAGCAGTAGCAACAGCAGCAGTAACATCTACAACTGTCTATTCTTGAAGTAATTTTGGTGGATGGCGAGTAGTGATGGAATCCATGATGCGCATTTCATCCCATTTGGGACTCGTCAAGTCAGATCCTCAGACATCGTCGAAGCATCCGTGCAACGAGCCGACATGTCAACAGAAGCCGAGCATTTCGGTCGAATCAATCGACGGGAAAATCTAAATTGAATAGAAAATGATAACTGCTCTTCTAATGAATTTAATCCACAAAGTTGTTCTCTTCTTCAATATAAGGTGATTCGAGTTGAATTTGAAACCTCCAATCGTTTGGGTATGGGTATATGATAATCAGCTGATTGACCAAGACAAAGTAGATGGGATAAAGTCTGAAACTCTAAATCTATTTGTTGGTTAAGTCAATAGGTTATGCTTAACGACAAAATGCAACACCGTGACTTCTCATAAATGATTTTATTACGCGACGAAGACTTAAGTTACACACCAAGAATCTTTACTAACAATCAATGAAGCTGACATAAAGTTAGGTTGGGAAAGAGCTAAAAGTGGTCACACGATAACTTGATTTAAGTTCATGAAGTCTTTGACAGCTGCTTTGAGCCACTTCGAGAAGTGTTGACTGCCTGGTTGGCATGCTAGGATGCAATAACTTGCGACTAGTAGTGATATGGTTCAAAATCATTTTCAGTGGTGTAGATGTTTTCTCTTTTTGTGATTTCCTAAATCTATTAAATCCTCATGCTTTCCTATGTTTCCATTTTTTTATTTCCGTACACAGTGTGTGGGCGGTTGTTACTTCCCGGCTGTCCACCCCATGGAAGTTGGTCGAATCTCCGGGTACTTGAAACAGAAAGAGGGTTAGTGTTGCGTGACCACAGAGTCCAGGGGACAACTGCTTGAGGCCGGTCGATCACACACGGCCTGTATGAACTGGTTTCTTCGATTGGTTCCGTATTAGTAAACTTACCACCGGTTACAGACCACAGTAAGGTAAGTCGTGATGTACAATTTTTGGGGTCAACCTTTTCTAACGCTGTCCCTCCCTCCAGAGTGGAGAGACAGCATAACTAGCTGGCATGCTGGTCGTCTGAGGGAAACACCTTACTGCGGCTGTTACAACCCTGTTCCCCCCCCCCCTCAGCAGTACAACTTCACCCACAGACCCCCAGTATAGTGTAAAAAGAAAAAATTCTTACATTATACCGGTAACTGCTTTTAGTCTAATCGGTATCCTAACAACCTTCCTGGCATGGTAGGACCTGCAGTAACAAACGTTCCAGCCAATGTAACTCGTTGGGTCATTGCAATATGCAAGTCCAGCGACCACCACCACATCAGGGTAGCAGCTATCGATCTATCTATGTTGAAACCAACCAATCAGTCAGTCATTCTCTTTTCTTCACCTTTATGTGTACTACATGAAGTGTGTCACCTTCAACTGGTACACTTCTTTACAAAGTTCCATGTTGGAACTCAATTTTTCGATCAGTCAACAACCAATGAAGATTTCTAGCTAAGTACGAAATATTACACCGAAATAAAACTAGACTAAATTCTTTGGATAAGATTAGAAGTTACACAAGATAACTTTCACTGTTATTCTGATGAATAGCATCGCTTGAAAACTGTTTACAGTTTGCATGATACTACAGACTACTGATTAGCTGCATAATATCAGTAGTTAGATACTACTTACAAACCAAGCAGTAGTGCTTGCCAATCAGCCAGATGAAAGTGATCTAAATGCAGGACAGCTGTCACCGTCATTCAGAGTCAGGCCTTTGGGTAATGTGCCACTTTGATTCTGCTCAAAGAATCGATCGATTCAATGTCTTCAGTTTGTGATGGGTAATATAGAAGAGAAATTGGTTTTCACAGATAATGTGGATACAAAATAGCTGAAAGTTTCTACTAACAACAAAGTGTTTTATTTTGCTGTGAACTCACTTATTTTCAAACTTTATTTGTTTTGAACAATGTGTCACTAAAATTTAGCTTAAAACTAACTGAAATAAATCAGAATGTTATTCACTAGAATCCGTACTTCCATAAATCATCACTATTTTTATAAAAAATGCATCCACACTGGGATTACGATGGCATGCTTCTTTTTATTCCCTGTGTTCATAGGGTTTCCAGCTAAAGACTTTAAAGTTTCACCACCAATGTTTATTTGCCTCATACCCACATTCACTCCTCATTTCTGGCAAGGCGTTTAGGTGTGCATTAACTGCGAATTGAACCCATAAGCAACTGGGCATTGGTGGTTCAATGGTAAGATGATCGCCAATCAAGCACGCGGTCAGGCGTTAGATTCCTGGACGACAAGCTCCTAAACCACGTTTATCCATAGGGAAGCCAAGTAATGAGGGAAGATTGTGCGTGAGGTTAGCGAGCCCATTCTAGGAAAAAATACCACCACTACTGGAACCTAAAAACTCATGTTTGAACCTTATCTTCGACTGGGAACGCAAAAGAATGGAGAAAAGTGATGCACAGGATATGCACTTCCTCCTGCTTGGGACTCATCCTCTGGATGTACCTGCATCACTCAGAGAGCAATGGCATTTCCACTGAGACTTGGATAGATACAATACCCATCCTTGTAAACGCTAAAGCATTATCTACTGGGCCAGTAGGCCACAAGAGCCAGTTCACGTGCAACGAATGTCATTAGAAATTAACTTTAAGTTGTTAATCATGATAATATTGAGGCATCCATTCTGTGAAGTTGTATATGCCGGAATGAAGCTAGTCAATTCAGATCAGATATATCAACGAGAAATTATTATATGCGTTATTATTTCATTTATTATGGTGATTCTCAAAAATAAATGTGAAAATCAATAAAAAGAATCTCATTTTACAGGTGGATACAGAACATTTCATAGGATTTAATCCACATCATGTTCTCAAAGCAGGATTAATAAGTTTTGAAATGAGTGGTAATCGACTATTGCTGTCCACACAAAAACCACAGAACAAGTAAAGAGGAAAGAGACTAAGTCGTGGCAGCAGAGCTTTTTTTATCGACTTGTAACAGACGAAGTAGCAGTGAACTGATCTAAATACATATATACATTTATTATGACCTTGTGCTATATATTTCAACTGCTTTCAAAACAATGTACGTGTTTTAATGTCGATTTCATCACCCATCAGGAACAGTTAGAGCTATTTCGTCCTAGTTTGGGTCTATTCAGTAGAACATACACATGACAAGTTTCAAGATTCAACCAGATACAAGATACAGGACCTAGTGCCTGAATAAATGCTTGAAGGTACTGAGTTCAATCTTTGAAAGGTTTACAGGTACCTGCTGCTGACGAGTCTCAGACTAGAAAGAAGCTACCATCTAATACTCCTTGGCTATAAATCCCCTGTTAACTGATGTTCACTCTAAAATTAATCCGTTCCTTACAAACCACCACTTGATCATACGCATGTTTACAATGAGGAGTTTTATGAAAACTGTAGGTTTTTTAATTACGCAGTAAAGCCAAACACTTATGGATAAGATTTTATTTTGATAAAATCACACAGTGGTGTTATACAGGAAGTAATATTTACTAATGACCACATTTTGAGCACAATTTATCATTGCCACTCATAATCATATCAAGGTACTCACTCACACAACTTTCCTGCTTCATTTATATACATGAGTAAACACTGATGATTAGACATGTGAATAAAATCAATATAAGATAAAGTACATTCAGAAAAAATAATAATATTAGTGTTACCGATCAAATACAATAAGATGGGAAATAAGATGTTTTTATAGTAAAATAAGTAACTTGTTAGAATTTTAAGATTATTTACTATCCTCCTCTGATTGGACTGACTGGTGGTAATAATATCTTCCATATCTCTGGTATTTCCATTGAGTTATTTCTGATGCATGTGCTGTGTTGGGTGAAGACTCGGTGAACCGAGCAGGATTCAGCGTTCAACCTCTCTCTCTCCACCTACCTAGATTACTTTTTAGAATTTTGACTCTGTCCCAACCACCCTATTGTTTAGTTGTGTGTTAATGCATACAGTGCAATTGCTGAGTTCTTCTCTAAATTACTTATCATCGTGGGATCAATCATTCTAACCTTAGCTAAGTATTATGTTCTGATAATCTCACTACTCCTGATTCACTAGTTTGACCTATGTAGTTGACTTAACTCACAGTCATTGCAAGGTATTTTGTAAATTATATTTTCTTTAATCGGGTCAACCCACTCGGTCCTTTAACCTAGAGAGCTTGTCCCTGCCTGAGTGAGTTTGTAGGTTTAAATGCCACTGTAATTCCTGCTTAAACAAGAATCCTACGTAGGGCCTCAGATGTCCGCTCCCTCCCTATATGGTAAAACATTAGATCCCTTATCATTTTTTCTTATTTATGTTATCATTATTAGTCTCACCACTATTTTTATTTTGCTTTCAACCTTTGTTGATATTTATGTGTGATTTGTCAAAATAAAATTTTATCCACAATGGAGTTATGCTCTATCACAATGCCCAAGTTTTATACTTATATCAAACGCTTATTTTTACTAAAACTTCCAGATCGCATTTTATAGATCTTTGTTGATATATAAGGTGTCTTGACTTGATTGCTTGATGTTATTTAATTGAATTTCGGTTAGAAATAGATTTCAGACCTTCTAAACAATGAGTGCTGAGTTCGAATCCTAGCGGAAACACTACTATTTTACTAGAATATAAGTACATCCACCTAACATGTCTCAAATACAACAAAATGTATTCCATAAAGTACACTGCTAGTTAAACAAAACACAAATAATATGAGACACTCAAGTAAACATTTTAAAACGTCATGAAAGTACCAACTATTCAGTGATGCTACTTCATTTGAAATATGTGGTTTTATAATTATTGTCATTGTTATACAAAATTGAGATTCTTTTTTTAAAGAATTGTAACTATATTTGTAAACTATATTTATAAATTCATCCACATGTAATACGGGTCAGTTACAGCGCATAACAAATGATCAGATAGTAAGTAAAACAAGAAAGAGACAAAAAGAAAATACATAGACAGCACGTTGATAAAAACAATTCAGTGCTTCAAACGATTTGTGAATGAATAATTTTAGAAATATTTTTAGAACCATGTTAGTTAGTGCATATATTGCTACCAGCAGTACCTTTCAGTTACAGGAGCTGTGGCTTATTAGTGTAGACATTGGACTTCCAACCAGTGATTTACCGATTCGAAGCCCACACCACCATCACCACCACCTGTCGAAGCTCGTTCAGCAGTAGCACTAGAACGCACATACACACAGCAGGTGTGACTAACTAACTAACTGCGTGGAAAGGCAAGTGCTTTGTGTATTTTGCTTTCATTCAGCATGGTTCCAATTTCAAATCTCACTCCACCTATTTCAGTAATTGAGGTGCATCATCAGCCTCTCATCCAATAAGTGTAGCAACTTATAGCTGGTTACACGAAAGATATTTTCAAACGCTTATTAGAACTCATAGAAATATGGTTTGAAGACGTCAGATAAAAAGTACACAATGCAAAAATTAAAAATGATACAGTTTGCAACAATCAAAAAAATAAGAGTGGACAGAAATTATACCAAAATAAGGAGGAATAAGGACAAATTAAAACAGGATTGATCACGAGCTAACATCAGTTAGAAAATCATTGGGAAACCTTGGAGTACTGGACAGCTGTTTCATCCTAGTTTGTGACTCTTCATTAGCACGACCACATCAGGCAAGAGGACAGTTAATCAGCCGTGAAATTGGCCAGCAGTTGCGGTAAATGTATATCACGAATTAGCAGAAGTTGGAATTCATGAACAGTTGGGTCGGGTCCTAGTAGCTTAATGGTCTGCGAGCTCGCCTTGTAACCAGAAGGTCCTGGGTTCGAACCCCGGTGGGTGCGTACTGTTGAAGAGTCTCAAACCAGGACAAAACAACTTTCCAGTGGTTCTCTAACTTCTCATCAAATTCCTTGGAACCTATATTAATGATTTAACTATACATATATTAAGGGTGAGAGAGGATTTTAGATAGCTGAGTTCATGCTATTCTCACTGATTAGTTTAGCTGGAGTGAAATTCTCGGTCCCATTTGAAATGTCAGATCCTTGTGAGAACGCTTTCACGAAGAGGTTTTCAAATTAGCCTGATATTACACGGTAGGTGGTAACCAGGAGTAGAATGCACACCACGGTTTTTGTCCTACCGGGGACTTGTCAGCTGAATGTATCTGATCCATACCTAGGAGTAGCAGAGTTATGCCCAGGACTCGAACCAAGCACCTATCGTTTCTAATAACAGAAGAAGCAACTTTTGCTTAGGTAACAACAACGACAATGCAGCTTTTAACATTGCCACAACATTGTCCAGCGTATATTCAGAATCAAAAGTTCTTCTTTTGTTATAAAATGATTCATAAGCTTTTCAGGTGTCACATAAAAATCCCCTCTAGTGATTACCTTCTAAAGTTTGAATGACGTGTTTCTTATTTTAGGTAATTACAAAATAAATCGATAAATACAATGAGAACTGATTTGATAGGGAATCAATTAAAATTAACGAAATGCTTAAAATTGCAACCAGAAAGAAAAGAAATGGGATAAAATAGAGGAAATTAGAAATGAGAATGGGAAAATTGGGAAAGGTAATAGAGATTCAAGATAAGTATATGCATATATTACTTTGTTCCCTGCTATCTTCTTTCACTGGAATCAAGACTATCCGTTGGTTTTTATTTTAGCCTCACACGACTTCCTCCATTTCACCCGCAAACACACTCTCAATTTGTCGTTTCCCATCTCAATTCCCCTCGAAGGCCTGCAATGTGATGTTACTAAATAGTCCCCTCAGAGTGTGTCTTATCCGCTTTCATTTACTTTTGCATATTTGTTAGGTGACAGGTTGTTAGTTGGTTCTTTGCACTATCAGAGTTCCTTCTGGTTTATCCTTTCTAGCCATCTGAATATATATTCTCTCTTTTAGAGTCAAGCAGGGTCAATAGATGACGTGGGAGACTTATTGCTTAGGTATTCAGACGTATACAAGCAGGCAGGCTAAAAGAAGGCTTATGAAGAAAATCTACATCAACTGTAGAATCCTGTTTCACTATCTCTTGAGATTAACAATGCTTCCTCCTAAAAATGATTAATTTCTTCATATATTAAGAAGGATATTTTACAACACAAAAGTAATTTAAGCAGTTGATGACTTACTTGTTCAATAATATTGAAAATATCCTGAGCTGATGTTTTAGCCATATGAAAATATCGAAAATTTGGTAAGGCACTACCTAAAAATAAGCTGCCAATGATAATATTAAGGAAGACCTGAAAGAGTAGAGAAGGAAAAACACACAGAGATGTGGACTATTATTGTGATTATTACCACTCTTTTAAATAAATTCAGTGAAACTATTTGACTACAACAATGAAAAGACAACTGAAGACATAATAGCTTTACTATGAACATTTACATTATAATTCAAGTATTAGTTTGTAGGGATTTGATTGATTAGTTACAGGATTTCATCATGAGATGCTCACTAGCCACTGGCCCTATTCAAGTAGGCAGTTAGTTACCTGGGTTCTAGTCGGAAGTCGTGACCAGTAGGGTGCAGCAGGTCAAGTGTGAGGACAAATACTCAACGAAGACACTGACTAGCGGCCGCGCTATCGTGAATTGGAAGAAGTTGGAATTCATAGGCTGACCATTGGATCTAGTCCCAGTGGCTTAATAGTCTACGAGATCGCAAGTCTTGTAACCATATGGTCCTGGGTTCAAATCCTGAAGGTGGGCGCGTATTGATGAGGAGTCCAAAACTAGAAGGACGAAGCAGCTGTCCAGTACTCCCAGGCTTTCCAATGGTTCTCTGACTGATGTCAGCTCATGATGAAATCCTGCAACCAATTTACATGATTATCATATGATGGTCCAATTCATCTATGACAATTTACTTGTTGAATTAACTTATCTCAAAATAGTTGTTATTACAATCTGATAACAGTTAATCTTATCTTTGGGACCAGTTATATTGACTGCACAAAGTGCAGTAAACTTTCCATACGCACCTCTGAACATTATGCGCCATGGATACCAAGGAGATAATGCAATGTTACCTCAATTCTGGAGCACCTGGTGAAATCAAGCCACGCATCCCCAACACAGACATTTTTAAAAATGATACAAGGGATGTTAGCTTTCAGTAGGTGTATGGCAGTGCTAGCAATCTGTCAATATAACCCCGAACTCTATCTGCAGAAAAGTCTTGTACAATCAATTATCCTGCCATGGTTTTAATTTCATTCCTATTAGTTTGCTTTTAGTAATTAGTTCACTATTATCACCCTTGCGTGTTACTTTTGTACAGTTTACTGATTTTGTGCCTCACCTTCTTCACACTTGCCAAGTGAACACTCAAATACCTTCCTCCTGATCGAATAACGATTTTAACTTAATCGAATTATGAAAACTAACTTCCATGGTGTCGCTGATTGTTAAATGAGTATTTGTATCAATTCTGTCAAGCCATCCCGATACCCAATTACTCTATAATAGACTATTATACCGTTTTGGTAAATATAAATATGTCTGTACACCCTTTGGATCTGATTTCATCGATAAGGAAAATTGTCTTCTATTTTCTTTATGACTGAATGCATATTTCCGGCCATATTAATCCTATCCTATTTGACTTTCAACAGTTAACTAGGTGATATCAATACGAGATTGCTATGGCTTTCAGAATCAAATCACAATTTATGTTATTACTTCAGATTTTTGTTTTATTTCTAATGCTAACTGTGTTTAAATTACGATTAATATAATTTTAATATTTTAAAAAATGCTTTATTACAGCTCGATTCCATACAGTATTTTGGTACAAGTATGGAATTTTCAGCATGTGATATCGGTAGCCCAAATTTAGCAGGCCGACCATTGATATCAGGTGTGCGTTGGCAGGGGATCGAACCCCGGACCATGTGCATGGTCGGCGAGTGTCCCAACTGCTGTGCCACCAATGCACATAAACACACGCATGAAAACACAGTCCATGGACTTAAAAAATAGAAAATAATCACCGAACAGTTCACTGCACATTTAGTTAGAGTTTAGTTACAAGGTTGAAAGCTAAAACTATTGTTCGACGGTCATCAAAGTTGAAGTAGGTAAAGTAGGGCTTGAACCTCAATCTCCAAGCACTCCAGCAACTGAGTGAAATCTTCACATACCTCAAATAAATGGCTGAGAATTACAACCAGTGATGAATCTACTGTATATTAAGTTACTTTACCATTGACCTAATTTGTATAGGGATTCATGAAATATTAACATTTATACTACTTATTCCTTTTTTATACACCTTCACTTGCAAACTCTGAATCAACACACACGGTCACACATGGCCTGTATGAACTGGTTTCTTCGATTGGTTCCGTATTAGTAAACTTACCGCCGGTTACAGACCACAGTAAGACGGGATGTACAAATTTTGGGGTCAACCTTTTCCAACCCCTTCTCTCCAGAGTGGACGGACAGCATAGCTAGCTGGTGTGCTGGTCGTCATCTGAGGGAAACACTTTACTGCGGCTGTTACATCCCTGCTGCCCCACCAGCAGTACGACTTCACCCACGGACCCCCAGTAGTGTAAAAAAATTCTTACACTATTCCGGCAACTGCTTTTAGTCTAATCCCTATTCTAACAATCTTCCTGGCATGGCAGGACCTGCAGGAAGAATAGTTCCAGCCAGTGTAACTTGTTGGACCATTATGATATGCAAGCCCAGCGACCACCACGTCAAGTTAAGCTGTCGGTCGGGGTTAACTGGACACCGTGCACATAGACTAATAAGCTACATATTCACCAATATATGCAGAAAAAATCCCATTTTTACATGTCTTAATCAGGAGAACTAATACAGGAGATTTAGAAACACAAGTATATAGAAACTCAATACATACAGACTGAATATTCAACTATAGTAGTAATAACTCCATTACCCACAAAAGAAACTGTATGCAGACATGGTTTAAACTAGTTCAAACACACTGTATCACTAATCCGGTGTTGAAGAGAATGGAGGAAAAATACCTACCAACCGTCTTCAAAACGATTAAATATCCTCAGAATTTCATCAAAGTGTTTAAACTCGAGTCACAACACCAACAAGAAACCATCATCAAAGACTACAAGAAAACTCATTCTGCCATGTATAGAAAATATCTCTACAATGACAGGTAGAATATTAAAACCGTGTGAAATAGATGTCGCGATGTCGCCGGGGTGGATAGCTGAAAACATGGCTTGGTACAGTCAAGACTGATATGGAGTGCCTGAGGCTACAAACCGTCTACGGACTCCGTCTGTGGAACAAGAATTGGATAACCCTGTCGCAAAACCTTGCATCAGATCGCCGCGCCTGGGCAGCGATGATTCGAGATGTTCATGAAGCCGGCTCATCCTCCCGTAGGAGATAGCCGAAGTAAAGTAAAGTAAGTTTGAAATAGATATGGTACACAAGCCAGCCAGCCAACACAATCACTTCACTCGATATTGTGCAAACCTAAAGACGTAATAGAAAAAGAAGAAAAATTGAATTTATCGAAAAGAGTACTCTTTGTTCAGTATCCATTCTTTTGAAAATTTACAAAATAAATTGTATGAACTGTAACAGATATTACATCAGTCATAGTGGGCGTCTTCTTCAAACCAGAATAGCAAAACAAAAAATGGGTGTGAAAAGACATGATATATATTCTTTCATATGAATGCATGTAGATAATTATGGACGCCAATTTGATTGGGATAATGTGAAAATTTTAAATACAGGAAATACCAAAAGTGCCAGGGGATTCCTAGAACCCTGGTACTCACCGATTAACAAACGCATTAATATAGACCACATTTACCAACTAATAAAAAGTAAATCATATGACAAGAAAGTTCGAATTCCAAGTCAATAAAAATGACCACTACAGACGTAAATGGACTACCGACCACAAAGATGGTTACCAGGAGGCACAATTCTATCACTCATGGAGAATTAAAATCAGTTCATTTTATGCTAAAACTTGCGCTGAAGACGTTGTCTTGAAGGGGAACGACAAAAGCTTTGCAATTAAACCGAACAGTTCAGAGAACACAACTAATTGCAAATCATCCACCTGAGCTGCAAATCTTCTCTATGATTTTCTAAGTTTTATTTATCAGCAGACGTTTCAGTATCAATCTAGACATCATATTCAACGTCCGGAAAATACATCTTTATTTTATAGCGTCTTCATTACATATAAAATTTACAAGATAAGTTAAATTTAATCAATAGTATTTTGACTTAAAATATGTTTAGTAATAAAGTTATCAGTTATTTCACGAACTAGATTTATATAAACACACAAAATACAACTTCCGGAAATAACATATTATTATATGTAACAGTTTACGAATTTGAATAATTCTTTTGTTACTATGGTAACTTATATGTTAAAGTACCAGCATAATTCAAATACAGGCAAGAGAACAGTGAATTAAGATGAATTCATAAAAAAACATAATGGTGACATCATTACACCATTTAAAATATGCTAACTAGTCAGAAAAGACGTTTCACTCAACAAGTATACGTGATGAAAACAGAATTATGAACTGTGATTTACATAGCGGATTGAAATGAGCTAGGTAACTAACCATTAATAAGAATAGATTACTGACTGAGTTTTCAACAAGGAACCTTGTACAGAAGTGCCACAAATGAACTTGCCGCACACCATGTAGTACATAAAGGTAGGCGAAAGTTGGAAACAAGAAATTTGAAACTCGTAATTGGCAGAAATGTACAGGTGAAAAAAACGGTAAAATGGAGGAACGTGAGGATGTAATGCATCTAGGAGATTGCAAAGAGTGGATGCATGTCTGGCACTGAGAAGAATTTTGAGTCGTATCACCAACAGTCTGAAAGGATTAGTTCTCAGCATCTCGAGGATCTCAATCAGGAAGAACTACATCTCTGTACGTGACTGGTTCAAACCAATAGTAAAAGACATGATGGACTGACTCCAGGTTTTTAATTTAACCAACGCCTAACTCTTTTCTGACTTAATGATATATTAGCTACCGTTACTCAGCAAGGGAGGCAGTGGCTTGACATGATTAACACGTGCCCTAGCTATCTCAATCCATTACTTATCAGTAAATATCATTATTCAAGTCTGTACCTCAACTTCATAGAATTTGGAAAGGACGTCGACAGACAGCGTTGACCGAGAAGTAATTTGGAAACTACTTTAACACTACGGCGTGCAATGCCCAAGTCTTTATCAACCTCGTTC